TTGTGGAATAGGTAGCATTTTAGAAGAAAGCTTTCTTTTTTTTTTTTTTTTTTTGGTGGCACTGGGTTTGAACTCAGGGCCTCAGCCTTGCTTGGCAGGCACTCCACTGCTTGAGCCACTCCACCACACCTTTTTTTATGATGGGTTTTTTCGAGATAGGGTCTTGAGAACTATTTGCCCAGGCTTGGCTTAGAACTGTGATCCTCCTGATCTCCGCCTCCTGAGTAGCTAGGATTATAGGCATGAGCCACGGGTGCCTGGCTCCCAGCTTTGATAACATACATATTGTGCTCTCCCAAGGAGTGACCATGGGAGCTGATTTAGGAATTCAGGGAAGGGAAAAGTGGGGCTCATTGTCAGGTGGGGTCTTCCAGGAGGCTTTGGGGAGGACTGAGGTTGTTTGGCAGGTGGGGAAGGAATTCTAGGAGTCATGTGTTGAGAAAGCAGGCCCTGGTGTGTGGGCTCCAGGATGCCTGCATCTCTGGCAGGAGTGCAGAGTCAGCACTGGGCACAGGACAAGGAAGGGGCGAGGCGGTCCTTTCCGGCCTCCTCCCACGGCCTTTCCCTTCAAGCAACTTCTGAAGCCCAGCCCAGGTCAATTGAGTACAAAAGAGTATCAACAATTATTTCCTCCATCAGTCAAGTCAGAAACCAGGCAACTACAGATCTGCACAGCTTCATAACGGCCACGGCCTGTGAGGGGTCTTACAGATCCTAGGCATGGCCTCATCTGGTGCCTGAATTGTCCTCGAAACCACCCCTGCTGGTGGTTTTTGAACATCTCTGGTGGGCAAGAGTTCATTGTACTCAAGTCAGTTCTAGAGACCTGGACATCTCTTGTTAGGACACACACACACACACACACAGATTTAACACTTAAAAGTAACAGTGAGGTGAGTCTAATATACATGTATATTTAGCAAATATTTGGTGCACGTTATTTTCAATATGCATTTTAATTGACAGGAATCTTCTCTCTACATTAGAATCTCTGTTTTAAGGAGGCACCAAATCCTCCTGGGGGCATCTGCCTGGTCTCTTTGACCTTAGACAGGATCATAGCAGAGGCCAGAATGTGAAGAATTTGTAGCTGAACTTTCATCCTTCAGCCTAGGGGTGCTCGCTGCTGAAGGATTCTGGGCTGAGGAGGAACAAGATGAGATTTGTGATGTAGGAATGAAACTTTTTTTGTGGTAGCAGTTCAGACCTTGTACCGGGGGAAATTTAAACCCGAGGGAGGAAAGCCAGGTAGGTTACTATGATGACTGAAGAATGGAGAGTGAGGCCTGCACTTCTGCAGGAGAGAGGAATGAAGCAGGGCAGCTGCTGGTGAACCAGCTGAACAAGGGGTGTTGGAGGGACTTGAACTCAACCCCAAGGCTGACTGAGAGGGGGACTTGGAGTTATGGAATACCAGAGAGCCACTATTGCTATGACCTTGGAGATGACTTGGGGTTGATTACTTGTGAGACTTCAATCCTGCTGCTTGTTTTATGTTTTGGGGAGTAGGTTTTTTGTCAGGACTTCAAGAACAAGGTGACAGCTGCAGGGATTTTCTCAAAAAGTGACTGTTTTCACTCAGGTTCTAACCATAAATTGCAGATTCTAACCACAAAGACAATTTGGGAACTTGCAAGAGCCTGTGACCAGGAATTAGGTCTTCCTTCTGGAGAGGCAGGTTCAGCACCTCTTCCTGCAGGTGTGACCTCAGCCAAGCTGGCCTCCAGGCTGGGACTGTTTCATGAGGTCTTAGTGCAGAAAAGTCAACCAGAGGCCCTTGGCCTTTCCACACTCCCACTTCCATGTTAAAAATTGGGGAATGCTGGAAGTCCTGGATCGTGGGGGACTCACACAATTAGGAAGAGCTGTTCTCTTCCTAATCCCCAGAAAGGTAGAGGTCTTCAACTAGGTGTGGTTGCAGCAGAGAATTAGTGGGGACATGGTGTGGGTCAGCAGAAAGGGGGAGAGTCTGAAATGGTCCCCATCCTGCCCGTTAAAGCCTGGCTTTAACCATGGTGTGCACTGGACAGTGATGGACTGAGGCGGCTGGGGAGCTTACTGCAGGATGCCATGGGGAGGGTGAAATGCTCACAAAGCTCACCACAGGGAACCCTAGCCCAACCCATGGGAGTTCCCGGCCCTAGGGAGGGATGTGTGACTAGGAGCCACAGTAGGGCCAAAAAGTAGGCTGAGTTCCTCATAGCAGTCACATAAGAGAAACAAAACCAAGAGATGCTTGATCAGCTCTGAGTAGCTGGCGCAGGGGTGTCAGTGTGTCCCTCGGGAGTTCTGCATTAGCACAGACCTCAGGACCCTGTAGTTTGTCGGCCCTGCTCATCAGGTGTGCCTTTCTTGTGCTGTGTAGGTGAGAAATTGGAGCTGGTTTCAGTAACAGGAATGCTTCATTGAAGAATATTAGTAAGCCTAAAGCTTACTCAAAATAATTTATGAAAAGCAAATATACAACTTGCTTTTTGGGGATCCAGACCTCCAAAGAATGGGACCCAGTGCAGAGCCTCCTGCCCCGAAGTCGGGTTCTGTAGCTAGTGCACTGGGGCCAGGACCACAAGTTTCATTTTGAAGCTTGCTAATTTGAACAACATGAGTCTTATTCAGCCTCCCAGAGCTTGCTGCCTGTCCCAATGGGTGTTAATCCGGGAGTATTCTTAGTGACAGGCATTACCTTTCTTATTTCTTCCCAAGGTTGGAGCTAGGAGCCTGCTCCTGCATGGCTCCAGATTCTGGGAGGACCCTGTGGGGTCGGCCCCCATAGACAAGGTGAAAGTGGGACCAGGACAAAGGTAGAATTCCTCTCTCTGCCCCCATGCTCTTGTCTCACAGAGGGGCCAATTCTGGTGATGAAGAGCTCAAGAAAATTGTCTTTTCTCACATAAAGACAAGCAGTGTGTGGATATATGACAAGTGGCTTCACCCATCATGAACTGTGCAAAGTCAATACACATGGGTTAAAGAAAAGGGAAGCTTATCAAGAAAGAAGTGTCTTGATGGAGTGTATTAGTCAGCCCAGTCTAAATTCTGCTGGGTAGTGAGCCACTCCCAAATCTCAGTGGCTTTTAATGATGATGTTAGATTTCTCAAGCTTGACCTTCCCAAACTGGTGCACTGCTCCATGTGTTCTTTACTCCAAGACCCATGCGGATGGTGACACCTATACCTAGAACATGTCAGCAGGGCAGACATGGCAAACAGAGGCTACCTTGTAAAACTTTGACAACAAGCTGTATGGGTCACTTGTTCCCATTTTTCACTGGATAGAGCAAGACACTTGGCCACTCCAGAGTTCAACACGGTGAGATAAAAAATCCTCCTGTAGGAAGGGGATATACCACAGGCTAAAGGCCAGCTTGACCTCATGCGCAGAAGGCAGAAATATCTTGTGGGGAGAAAAAGAAGACTCTAAACACGAATGCAGCGTGTCTATACACCGTTACAGTGTACACACAGCTAATCTCCTCACTTGCTCTGAACATCCTTATAACTCCCTTTGTCGCTCCATCACCCACAGCTCCTCTGCCTCAAGGTTTCTATCCTGGATCCAGGGTGTAACCACTGGGATTGGCACTCTCTTTGCTCCTGGCCCTACTTAAGGGAAGTGAGGCAATGACAGTGGTTGTAGGATTCCTCAAACTTCAGACTGAGAGCACTGGTGTGACTTCCAACATGTGGTGTGTAGGATCAGCAGTGACACACTGGCAGGACACACAATTAGCTTCTGCAGGCTGCCTGAGAGATTTTGTCACCGACATGCCACCCTCTCAATGGGGAAGTGACATGTGTTCCCAACTGAGCATTGCATGCTGCTGGAGCAGAGGTTATTCAGTGTACAAGCCCCACAAACATCATGGAAAAAGCAAAAGTGGATGCATGAATAGTATCTTTAACATAGTCTTATATTTGGAAAAGCGGTTTTTTAAAAAACACTTGAAAATACAAGATAAGGTAATGGTTACTTATGGAAGTTTTAACCTTATATTGCTTGGCCATTTTTACATATAAATTATTGCTTACTAGCTTCAATAAATACATAGCACAGTCATATATACAGAGGCAGAAAGCATGAGCTCTGAGAAAGGAAACACTGTTAATGGCAAGTCTGGTAACTCAACAACTGTTTCATATTTACCAGCTCTTCTAATGGTGGAAAACTACCAAGTGTAGTCCCTGAGAAGTTAGGTAGACACCCTGATTGTGGGTTTTCTATCTTCTAATTGTTAAAACAAGCTGACAAGGTATAGCAGTCATAAGTAATGATACATTAAAAGGCAAGTTTTCTTGCTTCTGGTCATCATTTTCATTCTGGTATTTAATAACAGTGTAATACGAATACAATAAATAGGCTATGCAAATAAATATTACTCTGCTAAAAAATGTTTAGTATATACAGCTTTGCTTTATACAGTAGTACACTTTCGTCTAACTTTTTGGCAATTTTTAAAAACTTTTTCCTCTACAGTCTGAAGCGAAACTGGCCCACTCACTAATGAGCAAGCTGAAATTCGAAGGACATGTCTTTGAAGCACTGAGAAGAAATCCTGTCAGATAGCTGCGGTGGACGCGATCATCCCAAAGTTAATGTTGGTGCCCAGTTTCTGAGACACTCGGACTGGTTGTGCCTTTTGGTTCAGGAGCTGCTGTGTATGTGTTGGCTGTAGCAAAACTGCAGGGCTGGAAAGCTGCAGGGCACTGGCGAAAGGCCAGCTCCAGGGATGAGAAGTCATCACCAGCGCCCTCTCTTCCATGACCCTGTTTTCTCCTCACTCAGAGGTGAGTGTGCGTTTGTGCAACATCTCCCTGCAGACTAAGAGGTATAGGTACTTATTTTCATGCTTCTAAATTCAATGCATGTGTCACACTAGCTGGTAGGTAATTGGTCTAGGAAAATGAATTGACTCTAAACATAATTAAGGATACTAGAAAAAGGTGAATGTAGGTCATAATATGTTTCACTACACCATTTAGCAATTACAAAGATTGTAACAGTGAATTTAAAACATGTAGTCTATGGAACATCTGCAAATGTACACATTTCTTTTTAATTGGAAAGGTTGCAATTTTGCCTATAGGAACCTGTGTTCTGCTGTCCTGTGCTAACTTCTGAGTAGGATCAGTTTGCTGGAATGCTAATGAAGCCAAAAGTCCCCAGGGCTGTCACAGATGTGTGCTGTAACAAAGAACCCATTTTGAGGTGCCCGTGTACCACTCAATGGCAAAGGTGCCACATTACATAAGATTTTCAGAGTGAATGGAGATCTTATGCAATAAAAATTCAAAGGAGAGAGGGAGAAGAGCTTGGGCATCTTCTAGCCAGAATAAAAGTGATTCTGAAGAGGCCTTGGGGAGCATTTGGAGTGGGAATGGGGCCCACCCCCCTCACAGGACGTGCACAGGTCCTACAGGCCCTATGTACTGATGAGCAGCTCAAACTCCTTAGGAAAAATTTCTGGTGGGGCATTATTCTGCCTGGAATTCTTTAATTCCCAATTTAAGACTCCTCAAAGCTTTAGAAATTTCTAAATTTGCTGCCTGGGAAATCTCTAGAAACAGTTATCAAATTTCAGAAAAATTCATAGAGATTTTATATATTCAGAAGACAGAAGCAAATCTAAACCAAACAAAATCTTATCCTCCTTTTTGTTTTGTAGGAGAAAGTAAACAAGCACCACTTCCTCTCCAGCCTGTTTCCACTCATGCCAGGCTATTCAAAATGTGCTTAACACAATACGTGTGTGGCTTTGTCTGGCCAAGTGCATGTATCTGAATTGGTGTGCAGCATATGATCTGCTGAAATGGATCACCACCCGTTAGTCCTCTAACTCTAAAGTTACTCTAAATGTAATGTTCTGCTTGGTGCCATGTAGATCTAATGTAAACAAACTAAGTTAGAAAACAGAGACAGAATTGGAATGGCCTTACATGATTGGCCAAAGCCTACTTGCTAGGTTAGAGAAAAGATACAAGCAGATGTTTGTGCTGTAAGCCCTATTCACTCTTGGTAATTGCCAAGAGGAGGGCTCTTTGAGAGCTTGACTAGCCATAAGAAAGTCTGTTTTCTGTGGTTCTATGGCTCTGGTCTCCTCTAGCTGGAGGAGCAGCATGAAAAATTTCTCTGAGTGGACCAGCCCTGGGTACAGCATTACTTCAGTCTTGTAAATTTTTACATGCTGGGCCAGACTGACTCTCTTTGAAAGTCCTAGCAAAATATTTCTCTACATGGTTCCTTCTAACAGTATCTCAAGTTCCATGTGGTTTCTGAGCCCAGAAAACAGTACTGCTATACAGGTGTCAAAAAGGCTGGGACACACCTCAGTCATGAGGATGAGTGAGGTACTGATGAGACAAGGAAGCAGGGTCCTGGCATTTTAGCAAAGTGACAAGTATCTAGCTAGCAGGAAAGACTGGCTTACATTAGCCCACAGGCTTCTTTGTTTATTTGAGGGTTGAGGGAAATCTTCTAACCAGTCTGTGAGAATAGCAGGAGATCTTATTTTGCTATAGGAGACCCAACTGGTAAAATGGGAATAATTAAAAAGACTAAGAAAATTCTAAGACTTTGGGGAAAAAAAAAAGGAAAAGTAAAATTACAGCAAGGCTTCCTGCTTTGACTGGGAGGTGGACTACAGGACTTCTAAGTCTCCAACATAAATCAGACATCTGGGTATTTCACTTACCAAGAGGCTGGTAAACCCCACTTTCCTACACCTTGTCCTGTTTAGAGGGTGCCAATTTCACTTTGCCTCTTTCTCTGGCCACCCTGTGACAGGAAGCCCTCCTGAGGCATACAAAACACTAGGTAGGGGTTCCCCAGGAACAATATATAGACATTTGTGATTCTGTCACCTCAATCAGCAGTTACTGAATACCCAGTGTACCAGGAACTGTGCTTTTCCAAAAATCATATTGTGCCCAATAGAAAATAAGAGCCTGCTTACAAATATAAAGAGAATCCCCAGAAATTAAACAATGAGTCCATTTCTTAAAGACTGATTTTCCCTGATGGCAAAGCAACTTAGTTTACCTTGCCTATAGTTGCAATTCAGTTGTACAGAAACTAATTTCACCAGCAAACATACATTGGTAAGTGACTGTGGATGCAAAGAAGTGCATGCCTTGAAATTTCTTGTCTGCATGGCAAGGTATGACTGCCAGCTGCGTGTCCTCCAACCCCAGACACAAGTGGCTTTTGGTGATGTGAGAGTTCATACTGACAGAGGCCTCTCCCTCCTTGACATCTACAGATGCCTTGACTGTCCTCAGGTGTTCTCAGTCCTTGACAGCCTATAGACAGTAATCTGTTGCCAAGCAGAGTGAAACTCCTTCCTGTTGCACACATGCTCCTGTTGAAATGGTCACTGTATGTCAATGTCAATACATTTGCTCATCTTAACGCTGGCAACTCTCAAGTGGAAACTTGGACTGGATCAAGAACACGATCAGAAGAAATGAGACTTCTCTGTTCTAAGAATCCTTCTGACTCTTCCTGCCTTCCAGTTCTGAGAGCAGAGTGGAGGGGCCTCTCATGTCTGGTCCCTGGTGGCTGAACTTGCTTTGGCTGGCTTTCCTGCGCATGTCTTACGGTTTACTGATAAAACTCAGCAACTTCTTTTCTCACAGGAAGCAACGTGCTGGGCGGTAACCTTCCCATAGCTCAAAGTGCTGCAGTTACAGGGTGGGTGGGTGGTGGCTCACGCCCGGGGCTCAAGCCTATGGGAGAGCTCGAACAGGGCCTGCTGGCTGTCGATGACAAATAAATGGTTAACGTAGGACTTCAGCTCTTGGTGCTCCTTGGGAGATAGGTCGCCTCCTATTTATTAGAGAAAAAAGCAACAAATCAATTTCATGAGAACACCGATGCTATTTCTAACCACTGGTATACCCCACATGAAGGCGTGGAGTCAATCTTCCTGGTAGGCTCTTTCTGGTCAGAGTCCCAGAAGTGGTGTCTTTGTTCAACAGGAAAAGTGCCTTTTCAGCTAGGGTGAGATTTCTCAGGTTAGGCAGTCAGACTGGCATCAACTATATTTATTATGTAACAATATATACTATTAAGAAGTTATGCTACCATGCCTTTCCACAGTAAGGAAAATGAGCAAAGTCTCATGAGTAAGTGGTAGGGCCGAGATTAGAACATGGGTTCCGTGGCTCCTGAGTCCATAATCCGAGCCCCATGCTGTGTAGTTAGTTGCCCATTTAAATGGCCTGCACTGCCTCTGTATATCTCAGCCTGAAATTGTTAGGAATCACATAACCTGTAAGCATATGAACAGAGCGGCTTGCTTTTTTAAATTAAAATTTTTAAAAGATGTTCGTACGCTTCTTTAATGTTCTTATTTTTTGGGGGGAAAAATTAGTGAACAACTGATTGAAGAGATACCACAGAACAGAATCTAAGTTATAGCTAACAGGCAGAGTGAGCTGAGAAAGTATGAGTATGCACTAAAGTCTACACAAAGGAGGACAGAGCAAGTGGAGCTTCCACTCACATATCCAAGACAGGCAAAGAACTGTGGGGTCACAGAGGCTTTAGTGTACCGTGAATGTGTGCTAGTGACAGCTCTGATAAGGAACCAGAGATAAAGAGCATGGACAGTGGTGCTAGCCCATAGGCATGGGAAGATTGGCCCACCAGGGCCAGAGTGGAATCACAGATGAGTGTGACATTGGAGCTTGGCTGGAGCAGAAGCAAGACCACAGGGAAATGAGCATTTTACTGCAGCATTTTTTCTTCTGGTGAAAAACTTTTCTCCCCTCTTCTATGACAAATGGGTTTTATGAGGAAATAATTTAAGATTCACCAGTCATAGGTAGCTTGTAATTCAGATTTAATAACTCAGATTTAATAACAAGGCTTCCTAGTTTCAGCAAATAAAACTAAAAGTTTTAACTATGGCCAAAAAGCTATGGTAGTCTAGAAATTGCTTTTGGTTTAGTAAATGTTGTTTTGAAAAATATGATACTATAAAGATAAATTTGTAGTTAGCTTGCAAGCATTAAAAAGATGGCAGGATGAGAGTCATAACCAAGACAAATGATCCTTTGCCTGACACTTAATAGTTTATAACTGACTTGACATTATCTTATTTTATTCCAAATATTGATACTGGTTTGCTAAGCCCATATAAACTCTTAAAATGAACTCACAAAATTCAGTCTTATCCCAATTTTTAAAGATATATAAATATTAGATACAAACAGGCTTGATAGCTATTTAAATTTTTCCTTTGCTTTGTGCTATGCAAAGTCACTATCTGGTGAATAGGTGGTTCAAGGCCAGCTAAACCAGTATAACCATTTTGCTCATAGTTGGAACATATATAAGCTAGAGTCCCTCAATAAATAAGACTGATGCTTATCTTAGAATTAGCTGAATATCCAACAAACACTTGGGCAGCAAAGGAAGAAGAAATATGAAACTATACTTACCAGCAGTTATACCTGTACATTTGAATAAACCTCCCTGACGATGCTATTATTACTGTTTAGAACTGCTTTATACTTGCATACTTAATGAAGAATTATATAAGCACATATCAATGGCATTAATTGATGTGAATATTCGATCCCATATTTATAATTCTCCTTTTCAAACAGAGAACTTTATAATCCATACAGATGTTCAATACTGCCAGCGAAGAGCAGTATTATACAGAAAAAATTTTAAGTTCCCTAGAGGGCGGGACTTTGATTTTCTACTTTACATCTACTTCTGTATTGGTGAAATTTTTTGCAATGAGGATATGTCACTTAAATTTTATTTAGCAGTCACTTTTGAGTGATTTATGATTATTGAACTTAACTTTCTATTTTTTTGATTACCCTTTATAAAATCAGCACAGGACAAAGCAAAAGAGTCTGGCAAGGAAATCAGGCAAATTCAATTTGACTTCTGGCCGAATGAGGTAATGTCTGAGCCTCAGTTTTTTGCTCCACACCCAAAGGGTTAACAGTCCCCACTTACTAGGCTGCTGGAGGACTCTGCTGCCCAAGAGAAAGCTCCTGCACTCAACCAAGTCGATTTCCTTCCTTCCTGCAACGTTCTAACGCAGGGTAAGTTAGAGTAATTCCAATTTAAGTTAGGGCAATTCCATTTGAAATCTCAAATGGAATGAATATTGCTCCATACACAGACTCAGTGGGGATTCTACTAAAGTCTCAAGAAAAGTACTTTTAAGCTGAAAGGCAGCTCCAGAAGAGAAGTTTTGGTTGGAGAGCAGAAAAGATTGGAGAAGCTGCTTTAGGTTCCTTTATAAACTGTAGTCCTATTCCAGGAAGGCCCTGAGCAAGAAGGTTAGAGGCAGGGTCACCCTTGCTAAACTTACCAATGGTTCTGAGGTGACAGACAAGCAAAGCAAGACTTGCTAAGACAGGGTAGGCTATCAGAAGTTTCTGACAGCCTAAAGTCACTGTAGACAATGTAAACTTGCTTCTTCAAGAGGATAATGACTTACCATACCTGATCTTTCTGTATATCCCAAGCATATAGTAAGGTAACTATGTGAGAATCTGGAATATGCACACAATATGCATACACAGGCATATTATACTTTACAATCTCTTTAAGTTCATGACCTCCAGGTACTTGTGATATGGCCACAGTCACTTTGCTTTCCACACCCGACTTCAATTACTCACCAAACTGGTTAGTCCTGCAGTGTCTCAGGGTTCGGACAGTGTCTGCAATCATGTGCTGGAAGGCAGAAAAGAAAGCACATCAATGGAAAGGTCATTTAGGGTGTAGCAGTGCCTGATGGAATAGATGGATAGTCTAACACCTTTGAGTGTAAACAGAAGAGCTGTTCTTGAACCTGGAGATAATTTTAATTAATTACATTGAGCTTGGACTACAACAGACTATTTAGTCCTTGTCTATAGAAACAGTGGCTCTCAAACTGGCCACATAAGTTGGAAGCCATAGGAAGGCAGGCTGTCCTTGTCTGCATCTGCTTGTGCTTTTTCCTGCAGGTGGGTGTCATCTCTTTTCACAATGCCTTTCTAAAATCTAACTTCTGAACGTGGGAAGAGCCCATTCCTACTGTTCTTTGTGTAGTGTATATTGGTTTTTTGTCACTGTCACTGCTGTTGGACTTGACTTCTCTTCTCAATCAGGTACCACCAGAGGGCTCTGCAGGTCCAGCACCTACAACATATCATACACATAAGCTCATGTTGAATGGAGAAGAAAGTTTTGTGGACTCAAAAAAGGTTCAAATGGTGGCAGGAAATGAGGTACTTATGAAAAAGGAATGTTTTCTACAACATCAACATATCTGAAAAGACCATTTTCTGTTTATTATCTACAATCTCTCCTATTGTCTTCAGTATAAATTTCTTTCTTTAAACTACTCACTGACCTCCAGGTAAAGTCTTACATTTGTAGCTGCTTTTGACAGATTCCCCCACCTCACACTGTGTACCTGCAATAGTCGTCTAGCTCACTGTACTATTTTTAGTTTTCCATGATGACAGAAACATAGTGTTTTGGAAGAGATCATTTCCCACTATGGTTTCTTTCCCACACTGGCAAGAAAAAAATCTCTTACTACCGTTGTCACTTAGTTTAGTCCTCTGGAGAATTACAGTAACTTTCTATTTTGTTTCATATTGAAACAAAATGTTTTGTTTCAATGCCATCCTATTATTCAAGAATCAAGTTATTTATTATCTACTTCTTCATTCCCCCCTACCACCCATCAGTCTTGCCTGTTCACACTGACCACAGGATCACCAATTGACAGCAAACCCTCAGTAAATTACTACTGAAAGATAATGCTAACACTAAAAAATACTTCAGAAATCCAGCAGAATGACAGAAATGCTATTTGAATATGACCTACTGATTAAATTGTTCTCACAACTGCATTGCTAATGTACTTCTTCTTGATAGAGGGAAATTAAACAGGACACGGATTATAGCAGCAGCTCAAGCAGCATTTACAAAGGAAATGAGACCTGACTCATGTCTGTGCGAGTGTATTGTTACATTTCCTTCCCCAAATTTTACCCCTATTCCCAGGATAGTTTTCTCATTTCAGGCTGTGGCGTCACACTGATTTCTATCATGTGCCATTTGTGCAGCTTATGCAAAGCTGGAGCTGATGTAAGGCTTGGTGCAAGTGCAGCACTGATACCTGAGCCCTGATTCTCATCCTCCTTTCTGCAGGGGAGGTAGGGAGGAAGGGAGATAGAGTAAAAGATGATCTTTTAATATTAAGGGATGCTCTTAATATTGAGGGGTAAAAAGCAAAGGAGAAACCCTTTGTTTCTTCATTATTTAACAGTTTGAGATAGGAGCATTTGAAGTTGCTGAGGCAGCAATGAACTTAGCCCAGGGAACAACAGAAATCTTATTAGACCCAGTGAACACTTCTGGATCTGCATGTGGTCCAATTTAATGTGTTGGCCTGTGTCAGCCAGATAAAGATAATACACTGAATTATCTGCTGGCTGGCTGAAGTTAATATCTACCAGGAGGAATTGGCCCCTTGCAAGTTAATTCAGTTAGGTTCTATTGGTTCATTATTGTGAAAGATGGTCATGTTTTAGCTTCAGTGAAACACTGTCCTTTACTAGTAAACATTCCTTAATTAAAAATACTGTCTCCGCTGGGAAGGTCAGTCTCATTCTCCGGCATTCAAGTATAACATAGGTCTATGTATGATGTACAGTTGATTCTTGTCCTTCTGGGAAAACATGCTAACCTCACCTGTCTTCTCCATGTAAGGAGGTTACCAGTACCACCTGGTCTGCTCTCTTTAGAAATGATGTGCCACCAACTGCCTGGCAGCTTTGCGTTTGTGCTATGGCCTGCTGCATGCATGCACAGCTGCACCCAGTTCCGGTTTTTTTTTTTAAGTTCTTTTTAGGAATTTTAAATCGAGCATTACTTATACCATGCTGTTTTCTTAAACTTTCTTAAGGAATTAAGGATACCGTCATTGACCCTAATGAAACCAGCATTATTTATAGATTTTGTGTTAGCTCCTATGGTTGGGTGGGCGTTTGAGCACATGAAAGCTGGTATTAAGAGCATGGTGGTGCACACGTGTAATCCCAGCTACATGGGAGGTGGCAATGGGAAGGACAGCTGTTTGAGGCCAACTCGGGCAAAAGTTAGCAAGCACAAAGCCCTGAGTTCAAACCCCAATACAGCCAACAACAACAAAAGAAAGAAAGAGAAAAAGAAAAGAAAGAACAAAGCTGGCATTAAAAGGCTTCAGCTGGATTGCTGGAGAGAGAAGTTAAAGACCACAGATGGTGGTAAGGAGAGTGTAGGAAGGGTGTTGAAATCTTCCTTTGGCTCTTTCCCTTTTGTGCCTGTAAGGAATTGTTCTCTCACTTTGGTGGTACTATCTGAGGGGAAATGACACAATGAACTTTGCCAGTTCAATTTAGGTTCAGTTTAGGGAGGAGGTCGGCCACCAGTCTTTTCTTAACAACAGGCAACAGTCGGATTATAAAGAGTACCATTGTTCTCCTGGGTCCCCGCTGGGTGAGAAGGAAAAACTTTCTAGACCTTTACAGGGATTCCACTTGGTGGCGTGATATACCACATCCCATATCTTCATGCCTGCTCTTCAAAGATCATTTGGTGTTCTTAAGCAGTGTTGGCCAGGAGGTAAAGTAAACATTGATCAAAAGCTTGGTATTCTGCAATTGTTTAATACCAAACACGAGATTAACCTTCTTGTCACTAAGAATTCTAGTGACCACAGCCTTTGTTTGCTCACAGGTGCCCTGTTCCAGACAGCACACAGCAATACCAAACAAGTATAAACAAACCACTATAATTTCCAGCTGTGTTGGTTTGACTACAGCATATGAAACAAGTGAGCCTCAATTCTTTTTTGTGTGTGGTAATAGGGCTTGAACTTAGGGCCTTCACCTTGAGTCACTCCACCAGCCTTATTTTTGGTTGGCTTCAAACTTCGATCCTCCTGATCTCTGCCTTCTGAGTAGCTAGGCATGAGCCACGGGTGCCTGGCATCTGAGTTTCAATCCTAAAACGGTGCTTAGAGACTTAAATATTTATCGACACTTCCACTTCAAAAATACCTAGCCATGAAATGACCGTCTTCAGAATGTTTAAAGGGGAGCTATAGAAAGATCCTGAAAATGTCTGTCTTTGATAGTCCAGCTGTTTGGGTTTGAGGCGATGAGAGCCAGCCCCACTTGTCCTGCACTGCTCAGCTATGAGTGGTGAGCTGGCTGGTGATAAGAGCAGAGCACACGGGAGGCAAAGGTCAGATGCCAGACCTCATTTGGATCCATCAGACTGCATTGTTCTTTGGTCATGGTCTGTGGCCCCTTCCTCAATCGACCTTCTCTCAGAGGCCTGACTCAGTCTCACAGGGAGTGAGGGGTCAGTTCTGAAAGAACTCACCCAAGTCCATTACCATTACTGAAAAGGTCACTCAAAGGTCAGAGTCCCTGGAGAAGGTTTATTGGGATCCTCTTTAGCTGTGACTGAATATTTAATCTATGACACTAAAGATCATCTGTCAGACAAATGCAATCCTCTGATAGTCAAGCGGTTTTTTTGGAGTATCCTATGGTACAGTTGCTCAGTTTCTGAGGTAATTCCTCCTCTGCCCATGGTGGGCCAACAGGGCTCAAGGAGCCCACTGCAGGACTAAGCACCTGGGAGTGTCCTGGAGATGATTCAGGAAGGGCATTTCAGGAACATAGATGAGAGGACTGACCAGGGAACCTATACTCACAAACAGGAAGGTACTTTTTCAGAGGCATTAAGGGATGGCCCTTCCCCTGACTTACAGACCCAACAAATCCCAGGTGTATACCCAAGCTTGGAGTCCTGGGAGACAGACATATCCCCAGGATAATTTCTCACACCATGCCTCGGATGCAGTTCACACCGAGGCATCAGGCAATGCCTCTGAAGCAGTAAAGCTCAATGGAGCTCATCCGGACAGATTTCCATACGTGGTCCTTAAAATGTGGCTAGTGCATAGTTGGCATGCGCTGGGTACTGACCATGTTCAACATGCAGCAAGTGAGCTTCTGGAAATGATGTGTTCAATGGAAAAAGGTCCTAAACCATTTGTTTCCTGGTACAGGAAAGACAAGGGGACATTTCCTTTACAGTGAGAAAAAGGAGAAATAATGAAATTTACGTACCAGTTTTTCAAAATTGACAAGATTATCCAAAAATGTTTTATTTCCTTCATGAATAAATGTTACATCTGTAAAGTAAAAACAAAAAGGTGTACGTACCATTAGGAATGGATCATGAAGCAGGAATGAAGAGATCTAGGAACAATGCAACTTAGGGATTTTTCTTAAACAGTATGGAATTATTTCATGCATTTGCAAGGCAAGTAGAAATTGAAACTGTATAATATTTGATGTGAAAGTACATAATTTATGGGACATTCTTTACACCCACAGTGAAGTGTTTGACCTCAACCTATTTGGTATAAGCTAATACAATATAACTTAATTGGTCCATTACGTTTTCAACACAGAAACTTAAGCAGAAAATAAGTGAATACTCTTGAAAACCAGGATTTTCATATTGGTGTGTTTCCTTTAAAAAATCCTTGGCAATATGTATGTGACTTGCTTTGCTTAAAACAGACTTTGATTTTCAAATTTAAAGTTTTGGTTCACAAAACAGGGTTCCTGATTATGCAATGGAAGTGAGTAAGGATAGGGGTAAGTTTGAAAATGGCAGGATTTTTGGCACCATGAGTAGGCAGAAAGTATCACTGACAAAAATAACAACAGGAAAGTAAGATGCAGGTATAGTTTTGGAGGAAGAGAAAGTTAAATTTGCTTTGAAACTCAGTAGATTTAAAGTGACTAAGGAGCCTGGGGTGCAGCTCAGTAGCAGAGCCAATGCCCAGCATATGTGAGGCCTGGTGTTCTAGTCCCATTACCAGGAAAAAAAGCAAGGATACTGAAATGAACATGTCCTTTTAGCTGCAAAAGCCTTAAGACATACGATTTGGGAATTAGACACATTAAAGGTAGCAACTGAAAGCTTTGCGAATAGATTCTGCACACACACTCAAATCACAGGATCCACAGCTGAGCACTAGGACAGCTTCACAGACATGGGTCATAATAAGAAATATACTAATTTAAAAGGCATACAAATATTCATGTCTTGTCATGAGTATGGAAAGCCAACAAATAAAAATAGTTTTAAACAATCTTATTAAGATGATCTCATAGAAAAGGAGGGAAAGGACAGTTTTAAAATTTCTATAAGTAGAAAGACATCATATTTGCATTAAACCACGATTTTTATTCATTCCACTGTTCCCTAAGGGGTATATTATGAGACTGGCACTCCAAAAACCTGCCTACAAACACTGGGCCACTGAACTTCAACTGCCTGTCAGGAAGTGACACCAGTTACATTGTTCTCACACACACACTGATACAACTCTGACCCAAGGTGTCCCCTGTACACAGCTTTCAGTATGGCCTTCCATGTTTTAATTACCCAGTCTTCTGACAGTTCCTCTGGTTATTTTACTATCTTTTGTAGTTTTGCTTTCAGAAATAATTTTTTGCAAGCTCTCATTCTGTGTTATGATATTTAGAAGAAAGTAGTCCATATCATTTTGTTTTTACTTTCCTCATCCCCCATCATCCTATGGACATATGATAAGGATGGTGACAATAATGTCAGACACAGTTTGAAGTACTTTACCTGCATTAAGTCATTCAATACTCACAAAAGCCTATAAGGTGGCCCTAGGAGGAAAGCACATGAAGATACTAGGGCCTAAAGGACATCCATAATTGAGTCAAGCTCCCAGCTACAGGGGGATTAGAGCTCGGATACATACCTGGGGAGGCTGGACCCCCCTCAACATGGCACCTCTCCAGAGACCTCAAGTTGAAAGGACTTGGACTTTCTTGCTTCCAGTTAGTCAACGTGCTGTATTTCCGGCATACCAGTTATCTATGTAAAAGTGTTTCCTTCATCACCCCCACTCCCCCCTACCCCCATGTGTATGTCTATATTCCTGCCTATCTTAAATCTTTCCACTTCTTGGGAGTTACCTCCTAAGCTTAACTGTCCAGACTAGTTGAGGGCAACATATGGGATGCTGTTCTGCTCAGGGGTGGGGCCTGCTGCACTGATGCTGATATGGGTACCAGGCATGGATGGTGGGGAGGGAGCTGAGGAGGCAGTCACAGGGTCAGAGGCTGGAAAGGGCTGCAGCCCATAAGAAGGGGAAAGACTTCAAGAGGATGAAGAATTCAATGCAGTTGAATGGCAGGTGTGTGATGAGAAAGGTGAGAGAGAAGGGAACAACAGGGAATGGGTGATTGAGTTCACAAACTGGGATGAGAATTTAAGCCATGGGATGTGACCTGCCAGGCCCCTTTCACCTGGAGATATTTGAACACACTACAAACACCTCATAAAACAGAACTGCCAGATGCAAGGACATTGTTTGAAGAGATGGCAAGAAACATACAGGAGGAAGAAACAACAGGCACCCCAACATTCCTTTCTTCAAATGCCTACAAATATGCAACAATAATCTCCACACAACCCTGAATGGAGACTTCAGTTAATCCTCAACCACCTTTTGATTATTCACTCTCATGCAAGACCACCACCTCCGAAAATCATGCACGATGTATGTGCACAATTCAGCTGGATCCGTTGCCAACACTGAGGGCTTCCCTCAACCCTTCCTGAACTGGATTCCACACTACATTAGGGGAAAGTACATCAAATGACAAGAAAATTCAGCTGGGAAGGAGAAAAGCTGACATTGGAAGGGTCTTCAGGTAATCCACTTACTTGATAGTCTGCCTGTTCACTGTTTACTGGGAACTATTTCAGAAGAAGGTAAAACATGGGAGACTTCATCCTTCCTGAACACTGAAGGAGCTCAACTTGCTCCTATTTTCTAATTAAAAGCAACTCAAAGTAGCAGGTACCAAAGAGGGAGGAAAAAAGTTTTCACTAAAAATTAAGCTGGTTGCTATTCAATAGTTCATTATTCCTTTGAAACAATCATGCAGTTAAAAAACCCCTAAGAATTAAAGTCATTTATTTTTCCTGAAATGTCTTGTCTCGGTCATGATATTATATAAATACATACATATACATATATATGGGTATATATACACACACACACACATTTTTAATCCTATTTTCCTTTGAAAACGAATTCAGACAAAAACAGCAACTTTAAATACAAGAGAATACTGATATTGTTTAATTTTAATGTTAATAAAAATTAAAACAAGGAAAACTAGGTACTTATTTAAACCTGAGAAGGCTTCTAATGAAAAAGTGAAAAAAAAAAAGCTTAATTTATACTTGTTCTTTTGGAATGAGTGAATGTATTTTTGATAGAAAAAAGGAAAATTTATTTTGCTGCCAACAAAAAAGTAAACTCAGCAGAGCAGAAAACTGCATCCAAGCTAAGATGTATGTGTGAGACATTTGACTGCATAAGTATCTTGGGGAAAGAACCACAGACATATAGCAGAAAGTTCTGCTCAGACCTAATTAGGTTACAGGGACACTGTTGGATACACCATCTTAAAAGTAGCTATTGTTTCAACTTTTTTCCTTAGACAAATCAAATCCTTTCCTACATCTGTCCTTATTTTCCACTGTCCTTATTGTGCCTACATGATTCTAGGTATTACTTCCCACCTGCCATCCAAGGAATTTATTTTACAAATAAAAACTATGAGCCTGAAGAAACTTGTCTTAAAAGCAAATAAATACAGAAAAATCGAATGAACTTTTAAATGCTATTTTGCATTTCATACACTGCATTGCTTTTGTGCACCAAAAGTACTTCTCACACAACAGCACAGTGGGGGCTATTGCCTCTGAAACTCAGATGCAAACACAGAATGTGAATGAACACTATTTGGGTTCCGAATGCCAGCCTTATTCTTGTTTGAATTAAGTATATCATAGATTCAAGAAAATAACACAGCGTTTAGAAGCAAAGCAGAATAAAAATACAAAAATTTCCAGTGCCAAGTTTTATGAGTCAAGTGCAAATGCTTTGATGTCTGCTTAAGCACAATTAAGCACTGCAGGCATCTCAAAAATGACTATTTGAAAAGTTATTATATACCAGCAGTTAGGTATGAATGTCAAAATTACCATAAAGAAATAAACTGAGTATCCTTCTAAAGTTAGAAGGATAGATTTCTGGAAGATGAAATTACATAGCATTAAAGATAAAAAAAATCATTACCTTTAAGCAATAAGGGCATGAAAGGGATTTTTGGAGGCTTCATCTTTTTGAATGCATCTCTGTAGGCTTTGTGATTTAGGGAAGGATCCTGCCGAACCAACCAGATTACAAAGAGAAAGAAAAATCAATGTGCCATAGAAACAATTCTCAATCTACTTTTGCTCTACAATTTGAACACAATTTAGATATAGAGAGGTTCTTCCTAAGAATGAAGTAGATGAAGGTTTCCTAGGAGAATAAACTCACTAAATTAGGGCAGGAAATCTAGGCAATGAATGTAACTCAAGTTATTGGTTTACAATACTGGGAAATGACTTCAAAAGAGAGTCACTTTTTGATTGCCCTATTATTTTCCTCAAATAGGTTCTTTAAATACAGCTTCCTCTGCATAATTTATATCATGAGGCAACCTCAAAGTCTTTTGTTAAGTCCACTACAAAGACAAACTACCCTCATAATGCAGAAAAAACAAGAGAACGTAGTTTCACTGTCCTTAAAAGGAAACTATAAACTTTGTATCCCAACCTAAGAAATAATAAAAAGGAGGAAAGTGAGTTCAGAAAACTCACTGAACACTAAAATTTAATTTCATAGGCTATGAAACAGACAATGCTTAAAAAGGACTATTCTTACGACTTTCTACAGGGAGAGGAAGAAGCATCAACTGTTGACTTGCTTTACTCATTAAGGAGCAAAGCTACTTTTTTTTTTTTTTTTTTGAGTTTTCTCTTTTAAAGACAAGGCCTCACAATGTAGTCCAGGTTGGCTGCAAACGCTCAATCCTCCTGCCTTAGCCCTCTGAGTGATGGGATTGTAGACATGAGACACCATACCTAGCTCAAAGCTAGATTCTTAGGATGCAAGCAAACTAGTCTAGGCTCCCTGACATTGTGGCATGCAGCAACTTTTCACTGAATCCAGAAGGAAACTGGACACCAACAATTAATTTGACAAACAAGTCCTCTTTGGCCCAACTACTTACTGTTAAACTTTCAAGTTCAGAGAAAAGTTTCTTAAACTTTCCAGGGATTTTCTAAAACAAACAAACAAACACACACAGAAACCAAAAGTCAGTTATTTTGAAAGGTACTGTAGGGAGTTTGCATTAAATCGTGTTTGCTCCTGTTACGTTTCTGAACATAAATACCTCTGTCACTGGGCTGTCCCCTGATTGCTTCTCATTAGGCAGTTTTCATCATTCCCTTAATATGACATTCCTTAAGAATGTTGCTAAAAATAGCTTAACAGCCCCATGACTCAGGAATCTGGCTGTCAGACGTTCCGCACGCTGGTGGTTATTTAATAAAAACTTAGCTTGCTCCATATCCTACCTTTGACGAATGTGCTCATCTTAACAGTCTTGCTGAGTGGAAAATAATAACGTTGGCTGATGTCTTTTATAAAAATAAATGATTATATTTCACAGTAGAGGGATAAATAGTAAAGGGCCATCAAAACCTTAAGAACCTCAACCTGTAAAGCCTAATAACATCAATATGGGGCAGGAAAAAAACCAGAGGATGGGGACATATGCCATTCTCCAAAATAAAAATTCAGGTCCAGTGAAAAATGGCCCAGAATGTTCCAGCCTGCCTTTCACACAAGTGAGTGAAAACCTGGATGCCTTTCACGCTGACTTAGTGACCTTCCTGTCGTAGAGAGTTTAGCCTTGAAGCCTATGTGAGTTCTGACTCTGCCCCTTTCTAGCTGTGTGGTTTAGTGTGAGTTGTCTCCAAGCTCTCTGATCTCAGTGTCTCTAGCTACAGGCACAGAGGCAGCTCACAAACATATATTGTCTATGGCTGATGCTCAACAAATTCTAGCTATTAACAACAACAGGTTCAAGAAGATGTTTGTGGAATTTTGTTTCCACATTTAATCAAAGTAGAGAGGCCAACTTTCACAATGATTAAACTCTTGTTTCAAAATAGGTTTTTAAATTTGGTAATTTTGAATCTGGACTCAGTTTTTCATAGCAAACAGGTAGCTTAATGTTTGGAGAAACACACACACACACACACACACACAATGAATGGAAGACTAATTAAATAAGATAAAATGTTGACAATCAGGTGGGCACCAGGCTTATACCTGTAATCCTAGCTACTATGGAGGCAGAAATTAGAAGGATGGAGATTTGAAGCCAGCCCAGGCAAATAATTCATGAGACCCTATCTCAAAAAAAAAGGCCCATCACAAAAAAGGGCTGGTGGTGTGACTCAAGGTGTAGGCCCTGAGTTCAAGCAAAAACCACAACAAAGAAAATGTTGACTATTATTCTTCTGAACTATGTATCTTGGTTTGTTGTCATCCCACAGCAATGTCCCAGTGGCAGCTGAAACTCAATGTGTCCAAAGTCAAACTAATTTACTCTAAAGCCCAGCCATGAGTCAAATCTGGCTCATGCTCCCTTTTATAAATAAAGTTTTATTGGAATACTAACATAGCTATTCATTTATTTATTAACTATAGCTGATCTTACACTACAATGGCAGAGTTAAGTAGTTGCAATAGAGACCTTATGGTCCACATGGCCTAAAAAATATTTGGCCCTTTACCAAAAATTTTGTTGTCCTCTGATTCAGTTTCTCTGTGGCAGGGAGGGGGAAGGGAGATTAATGAATGCTACAGTGAAACAAAGGAAAAGCAGAGTTGGGGAATGTTACCTGGAGACCAGAGAAAGGTCACCTTTCCCCACAGGTTAGAGCAGGCAATGAAATGACATGTTATTATGTATGGGACCAGCTGTTACCCGCCCTCCCCCATTTCTGTAACCTCCTCTAAATAGTGTATAAGGAAAGCCCCCTTTGTTCTCGGGGTTTAACCTTTGGACTCGAGTCTACTGAGTCACTGCCAGCTTGCTTAATAAACTTGCTTCCCAAAAGATTTGGTGCCCTCTCTGTCTCTGTATGAGCCTTCCTGCAATATCTCAGACTGACTTTTTTCCTGACTAGATTTAGTCAACAGATCCAGAGATCTGGTCACTCTGCTGGGATGCCCACTCTATACTTAGCAACTCCCAAGTTAACCTCCAAAGTTCTATTGCTCAGGGATTCTTTTGAGTCTTCTCAGCTACCCTGAGGTAGACTGAGTCCCTCCACTCGTTTCTCCCTGGCTAGGGGGACTTGGTCCAAGACTTTCTTCATCACATGCACACTGTTCTAAGGTGTCCACTTTTTATCTGCATGGTGCTAAGCCTGGTACATGGTAGGCAGTCCATATGCAGACAAAGCCATTTGATTTGATTGAATTAATTCTTTCAACATTTGCAAATCAAGTTTCTTTCAAGGTTTTATTCAAATTTCACAACCCCCCCACTCCACCCCGCAGACTCTTACTAGCCATTTATTTTCCTTCTGCTCTGATCAGTTGTTTCATTTTTCACTTGTCTCCTTTAATCTTAGAATGTGTGTGAACATCTGTATGCTTAACAGAGCAGGCAAGCCTTTCATTTCTGAGTCCCTTTAAGGAGCACTGGTCTCGACCCCTGGGTCACTGCAGTGCATTGTGAAGGATTGTCCCTGACTGAAAGAGAGTGAAGCCATGAGGAGTAACAGGAATTGCATCTGAGAGGACTGTGGAGCAAGGCCACAGAGACCTGACTGAGCCACACACAGGCTGGAGCCCAAAGAAGGAAGGCTCAATGATTACAGCAAGATGATGAGAAATGGTGCACAGAGTATGGTTGGCAGGGAAAGGAGTTCGAACAAAAGCCCAAGGAAAGAGGATAGAGCCATGGGAGAGGTAGAGTCAGACGCCTGTGTCTGGTTAAGCCTATACATACTCTAAGAGTCCATGTGTCAGAATCCAAGTGGGCTCAGCAGCCTTCATCATACAAGGAAGCAGGGCCAGCATTCAGGAGACTGGAAACTTATTCTATATTGTAGGACTAGAGGTGTGGTTCAAATGCCTACCAGGCACAAAGTCTGAGTTCAAACGGAAGTAACCGCCAATACCTACCTACTTACCTACCACCTGCCACTTACCCACCTACAAAATTCTTTACTTTGGCAAATTTTATAAAGCGTTCTTGTGAACACACTGCCTGAGCCCTGCAAGTGAGCAGACCTGATGTGTAACTTCCTGAACATCACAGTCAACCCATTCACTTCCGCACACACCCTTACATAAGGCCAGACTATGAAAGGACCGGCTGCAGGTGGAGTTGGAACCAGGCTATCTGGCCTCACAGAAGGAAGGTTGAGTCAGCTGGGGATTATTTGACAAATTTTCTCTAGAACCATTTTAAAGACCATTTGCCAGAAAAGTTCCCTACCACCTGGACACATTGCTTTCTGACATTTTTCCTCGAGTATGACTGTGTATCATTTAAACCATCTAAGTCAATGCATTTAAAATGAAAGCTTTCCCTGGAATGTTCCTTTCTTTCTTTTCCCCCATACACTTCACATACACCCTTCCCCTTACACACACACACACACACACACAGGTCCCCCAAGGCTTACCTCCCAGGTCTGTGACAGGCGGCTAACAGAGGCAGTGTTGAGACCCATCACAATAGCAAAGAAAGAATTCAGGTTTCTCTGCGCTTTGCAGCTATGGAATAAAGGAGAGGGAGGACACATTGAGGAAACATTCTTTCAACCAAAGTGATCACCAGAATAAAACTGAAGTGACCCTGCCAGCCCAAGGTTCATCTCCCTTCACCTCCTTCAGTGGGAGGGGTGGTGCCCCTCAGTGGTTTCTAATGCAAAAGAAAGTTCCAGCACCTGGGCTCCTTCTCCCTTCAGAAGATTTGTGTGCTCTTGATGCTTCAGGAGATCCTTCTCTAAAATTTATTTTGGGTACATTTACAATTTCAACTGAACACTTTTTTTTTTGGTGGGGTACAAAGCAAAGGGTTTCATTATGACATTTCCAAACATACAATCTCAGCATTCTTTTAAATGCCATTTTCTCTACACACTACCTGAAGGAGACCCCACTCATCTGTCATCCCTTCCAGACAGTAGGTCCCTCAGGCGAGAGTACACGTCTATTTCCTTTTTTACATTCTGCCCATATCTGATTGCTTAATATACAGCAAGTCATATACATAGCATTTGCTGAAGCTGAAGAAAAGAGCTTTTAGGGAAATGGTTTTATATTTTTCATGATGAGAAAGTTTACTATTTGTTTTTTTACTCAGTATCACTTATCTGTATAAAATCTTTGATATAATTCTCACAATTTTAGTTTCCCATACACAACTTTTCTAGTTCATACAGATTTCTTTTCATTTAAAACACACACACTATCTGAATGTTTTTATTTTTTTAAAGAAATTAAATTAATACAGACACAATTTCTGAAGAAGACAAACAGATACAGAGCAAATATTAGCTACCGTTCAGTCTAGAATTCTATTACCATGGGTCATCCATCCCATGATACGAACAGACTGTCTGACATGCAGCATTCCAGTTCAGCAACTACTCCTTTGTCTTTGTGTGAGGAAATGAAATCCACTCCATCCACAGAGGTGGGGGATGGGGGTGGTGAAGAGGGAAACATGAATATGCAAATTGGATGCCTTAGGCAGGGAAAACACTTCATGATTGTGGAAATTACTGTTTTCCCTTGGTTATTCCTACTAGTGTGATTATGGGGAATTTAACTTTATGTTTCTGTTGGCATTCTATCCCATGGGCTAGGATAGAGACCAGTACTATAAATAATTCAAGAGCATGGAGCTATATGGAGAAGATGTGAATATATTTCATTTCCCTGGAGATAGATATAATCTTATACTGGGAACAGAGCTGGGTGGTGTCACTTTACTCTTTAGAACAGTAATGTCCTATTTCTCTCTCTAACTGGTATTCATAAGAAACCTTTTCACCCTAAAGAGCCTCACCTTCAAGAATCTCACAGCCCATTTTGGAACAAACTGGCCAAATCAAAAAAAAAAAGCATTCAGCATAAAAGCTGCCCAAGTGTTAGGTCTATTTGTTAGCCTTCCCATTCACCCCAGTCACAGCAGACCCTAGATAGGTACTTCTGCAATCTCTTGCCAGTAATGCAACATCCCACTTCCTTCCAGAGTTTCCTGGTCTACAGGGATGGCCATCTGTGTTCTACTTTCAGCCTTCCTTTAGGACAACTCTGATCCTATCAGGCTCCTGCCCAGACTTTCCCAAGATCCTATCCACCCTCAACTCAGCTGAAATTCAAGATTGTGTATGGTCTGGTTGCGTCTTCCTTTGCTCATCAGTGTCCCACAGCTTCCTTCCATGTGAGTGTCAAGGATCCCAGGATGCACCTGATTTTCAACAACTCTCACTCCTCCTCATCATCTTCCGCCACTTTCATGGCCTACTGTAATTCAGCCAGCCACACTGAAGGACTGGGTACTGCCTGCTCATTAGTTCTAAGCATAGAGCAGAATGTTTCAGTCTGGCATTTTGACATTTACTTTGAGACACAAATACTCCAATTGCAAAGACTTACACATTTAAGAACAGGACTTTTCAACCATTTGGTCACTTAACTCAGTATTATAGTTTTTACATCCCAACCCTTCTTATCATTGCAAAGAGCAAAAAACCTCATGTGTTTTTTTCAAGGAGACGAGAGAATCAGCACTTTCTTCCATTAGAAACTTACTGAGCTGCAATCTTGATGAATTTTTTCACCAGCTGCACTCGCTTGCCCAGCTGACTACAGAGCAGAATCTCTGTGGCCACCCAGAGCTGGACTTCATTGCATCTCTGCAGTAGAAGGCTGAGGTTCACAGTGTGCTCCCCATTTCCCTGTCTGCTGAATGTGAAGTAGATCAGCTCTTGCTGAAAGAAAACAAATCCATGGCAGGGTTTATTTTTAGTGCAAAGGCAAGATGATTCAAAATTCAGCCCACTTTTAAGAGCTGCTTCAGGTAGCCACTCTCTTATCATTAATATTTTAACAGAGCGTATAATAAGTAATCATATCAAATTCAAAATAATGTATCTTTGGTTTCAGAAACACCCTGCTCAATAATGCTCACTTAGAATCCTTACATAAAAATAATTTTTCAAAAACAGGTCCTGTGCGGGGGATGGTAGCAGTGGGAGAGGGGAAGATATCAGGAAAGGGTGCAGGAGGTGAATATGGTGGAAATATTTACATACGCATGCATGGAAATGGGAAATGAGACCTACTGAAACTATTCCAGGAATGGGGGGAAGGAGGATAAAGGAGAATGATGGAGGAGGTGAATTCAACTATGATATATTATGAGAACTTTTGTAAATGTCACAATGTACCCCCAGTACAAAAATTTTTTTAAAAATTAATTAGAAATAAACTTTCAGAATGGTGAGGAAGGTATCTTTCTAGGAAAAATCTAAGGCATTCTGAAGTTTAAATTATGGGTAAAAAGGAGGCTCCAAACATCCCAAACTTGTTATACAAAGACTCCATTGAAAATGAACACTAGCAGTACTGGTACTTGCTAAGGTGTACATCAGACCAATAGTCATCAAATTTTAGTGTGAGTCAGGACCACTGGAGGACTGATAAAATTCAGACTGCTGGCCCCACCCACCTCTAATATCTACTACTAGTAGTCTGTGGAACGGCTGGAAAAAAAAGGGGTGTTTTGGTGGGGACTGGGAAATTTAGGGGATGTGAATTCAGGGTTTCATGTTTGCAAAGCATGAGCTCACTAAGCAAGTGCTCTACTGCTTGAGCCACACCTCTAGTCCATTTTGCTCTGGTTATTTTGGAGATAGGGTCTTGCCAATTATTTGCCTGGGTTGGCCTCAAACCTCCATCCTCCTGACCTCAGCCTCTCAAGGAACTAAGATTACAGGTGTGAGCTACTGGTACCTAGCTTGCAGGCTGGTCTTAAACAAGTGGGCTTAGGAATTTCCTGCCTCAGTGTTCTAGGTAACTGGGGCTATTGGTGAGAAACACCGTAACTGGCTTTGAAAATCCGTGATTGTAACAGGTTCTCAGGTGGAACTGGTGATGCTGGTTTGGATATCTGTTTTTTGAGAACGTCTGATGTAAGATATTGTCAAAACACAAACAAAGAAAACTGAGAGCAAGGGTAGGGCCCAACAATTTACAAATGCAAGCAGGACCATTAACTATTATATAGAGTCATCCCATACAAGTGATGGAAGATACTTGTTTTTAAATGAGGATGTGTTTTCTTACAGAAGCAACACATTCTACACCACATAACCAGCAACACATTTCACGCTGCTCACATTTCCAAAGACACAAGTCATTTAGCCTAAATGAGTTCCTTAATTGCTCAAATTCAAAAATTTCTCATTTTTAAATGAGAAAATATGAAAAACAGGTCTCTAAGCTGGGCATGAAGTTCCCTTTCAGAAGGAAAGGCCACTTCAGATGAAAAATTTCACTACATGGCAAATGAGTGCAACATATGGTGACTGAGGGCTGAAACATTTTTCAGTCTGGTTCCTGGGAGCCTTTTCATTGCCATTGCCTCATTAATTGTCAATAGCATTTTCTTCCTCATCTATAGTTTACAAATGTTATAACCTGTTCTCAAGGGAGAAGTTGATGAACATAAAAAAAAAATTGAAATATCTCCAAAATTTATAAGAAAGTATTTGAAGTCTTACAGCACAGTCTAAAATTTATGGAATATTCTTAAGTAAAAGAATAGTTGTTGCATGTCTCTACACATATATACATAATAAATATGAATATGGTTCTTATATCACCACTATACACTTCATGGAAGAAAAATTCATGTTAAAGTAAAGTGTTCTTATTAGAGCACCTATATATATTCATATACCCATAGGTCAAATTTCCATAAATATATTCATATACATTATATACATATAAAAATCCAGCATATGGTTGCACTAGGAACAAATAAAGCATGAGCACATATTCAGATTTCCCTAGGATGGGGTCAGACATTCAATATATTTTAAGTCCCCAAATATCCTTTGGAGCCTGGTATCTTAGCATAACTATATCACCACATGAATAAGTATCTTCAAGAAGAATTCACAATTAAAACAGCCTGAGTACTTTTATATCTTCACTCCCTACTTACCTCATGAATTGAGTTGAATAAACTCCAATCAAAATTCATTAATTCCAGAGCAAGATCCCAAGTGTTCATTCCCAAAATCCTCATCGACCTTTGCTGTGATTCCTCATTTTCTGCAAACGGGTTCTAAACCAACAGACAGAAGCAAAAGGGTCTTTAGTAATTCCCAAATGTTTTACAGTGAATTGGCTGCTGGTGGGAAGGCACTAGATGTCCAGATTAGAAAAGTAATCTTTTCTGAGTGCACTTAATATTTTCCCTGGTCTGTTCACCTTCAGAGAGTTACAGCCAATTTAGGATTGGAAGCAGTAGAATGTGATCAATGACACTTCACAGAGTGAGCCTGTCCTTCCCCCTCACCCCCCACAAGCTCACACACACACACTCACAAATCTGATTATAAAACATTGCTCTGGCAGACAGCATAATGAAAGTGAAAGCCCTGAAATCACTTTGGCTTCTGGTAAGAATTAATGTGCCAGCAGGGTTAGTATAAAAACAAACAAAAGAAATGTCACAGTGCACTTCAATAAAGGCAGACATGGCTTTTACAGGAAATATGTTTAACAAGTCTCATCCCAGACACACATTTACAGATTTTATTAAAATGTTCACGGAAAGTGAAAAAAATATTTCACATGAAATAAAAAAACAGAAGCTATTTCATTCATATCCCATTGTTGCAGATTATTTTAAGTATCAACTATTTTCCCTACATAAATGGTTCCTTTAATCACTATGAGGCTGGTAACAATGTTTCCTTAAAAATCTGGAATGATATGATTATGATGCCAATATAACTTTGAATCTATCATCACTATTAAAGTTACTAAAAAATAATTTCACTCCGTTCCAAAACAGTTGATGTTTTTCCACTAAAACATGAATTCTTTGATTTGAGGGATTGGACTTGAACAATTAATGATTTAAAAACAAAAAGAATGGGACTCTGCAGAAATAAATGACATGGTAGGATAAAGAGAACATTTCAGGTGTCAAATAGCAATCCTTACTTCTAGTATGAAAAATAAATGATTTACATTTTAGAAGTTTCATATTTATGAAAAGGTTTCCTAACTAAAGCAAAACTACTGACAACAGAGCTTCACAGAACTTTCCCATAGAACTGACTCTCTTCACAGCAGGTCCAGGTACAAATTGCCTCTGCATCCCCAGTGCAGGATGCAGTGTGAAGTGCAGAAAGTGCTGACTAAATGAACGAGCTTACAGATGCTAGGTGTGGAGGTAGGGGGAGGGGGGAACCAAGGTTTCTCAGACTCAAATGGAAAAGGGAGAACCAAGAGATAGTAAGTAACACCAATAACTGATGAATCATTTGAAGCAGTAAGGATAGATTTACTTGGCATTTTGATACTTGTGCATATTTCTCTATCTTATTTCTTGATGGCTCTAAGTCCTGATGTCTAAGAAGACTAATTTATGTGAAAGTACAGATGGGTACTAGCAATTCATGGGTTATTTTTTCTTCCTCAACAATGTTCTATTTTAAATAAAACCTTCTGGAGACAAAATACCTAAATCAATTCCTCAGGGGACATGTGAGATGGTAGCCAAAGTTGTTGTTGTTGGTGGTGGTGGGGTAAGCATTTGAGGGCAGGATGAAGTGTGGCTCCTTGACCTGTGACCTGCACAGAAAAGGCTCAAATAAAGTAAATGGTTCCCTTTCCTTCTCTTCCTTATTACCAAGCAATGAAAGGGGTACGCAGGAACTTCAGAAGACAAACACAGTGGGACTTAAAATCTAAAACTCTTTCTTACTTGGCTACTGGGAATGTTAAATGATTCTTCAATTACATATACAATAGGAGCCAGCCAGAAAAATCACCCATTAAGCAGATGAGGATGCTAGATGGTTCCGTGACACTGTTAGAGCCTGCTCTTTCTAGATGATGGATCAGGACGTGCCCTATGTTTCAGAATGCAATTATAAGATTCAGGTATTAAGGCACAATAATAGCAAAAAAGATCCAGTTGGCTATAAATGCTCTAAACATTCAAACTGATATTTTCTTCTACATTCTTCAAACTCTTACTTTTCAGTGGCATTTGACATCTCATTGTTAGGGACCCCACCTCACACAGGAAAGTCTGGTAATCCACTCTTTCTTCAAGGAAATGGAACATTCAAAGTGCACCAAATGTGCTGAATTGAATGACAGGCTCTTTCCCCCTAAATCCACCCTGGATGCATTTCTCAGACTAATCTCCATAAATCCACCAAAAAAAGAAGAAACTGAATTAAAACTCCATGGGGAGGAAGTCATTTGTCTCAAATCCCTTATTTTAGAGGATCAGAAAGAAGCAAGGTTACACTTAGGAAGGGTTTAGAATTCTCAGGTTGGGCTTCTCTTTGCTTTGCAAAAGTTGTGCTATCTGCAAGGGGGGAAAAGAGTTTAATATATTTATTATAAAGCATATGCAAATACGCACTGAGCCTGACATTTTCGTGTTTCAAGCACAAGGCTAAAGGTCCTTACCAAAGTGTCGGCCAGATCTTTCCGGTAGACATATATCCGACTTGAGGCCTCAAGGGATTTGGAAATGGCCAAATCATTTGGCTGAAGTTCATGCTTTTCTTTATTTAAAAAAAAAAAAAAAGGAGTAATTAGAAATACAAGTAGGGTTATGCAATAAATGGAAAGAGTGAAGCTTGCCCCCAAAAAATATTTAGAAGGATAATAACTGAGATCTAAAATAAATGAACTCAGCTCTGGATACTTTACAATACCAGGGGTGTTGGGGACATCACCCCTCAGTATGCATAGAGGGGACCCCCTCTTGACCTTCTTCCTTATAATGTTATAAGAACAGTTTAAGGATGAAGGTAAAATTTACTCATAATCCTCTCTCTCTCCAAAATAACCACACACACACATATAACTCACAATTATTATTATACACATACATTCATATTATCCACACAGATACATTTGCAATGATCCCATATGTAGTTTCTGATTTCATTATAAGCACTTACCCACTTATCAAAATTATTTATATATGTCATGTTTAATTGGTTATGTAACAGCCCATTATACCATCATTTAATCATTTCTCTACTGTTAAACATTTAATGGTTTTCATCTTTTTTGGAGGGGTTATATAAATTAAATGGCATGATATATGTTACATACTAGAACAGGGCCTGGCACATAACAGACACTTGATAAATGGGTTTTATTAATGCAGCCACTATTATATATATTGTTGAAGTCAAAATCTCTGTGCATAAATCCTTGTCTGCTTACTGATGATTTTTCTGAAGATAGATTCCCAGTACTGAAATTACTGGGTCAAAGTGAGTGAATATTTTAAAGTTTTTGATACAAACTGTCACACTGCTTTCTCATTTTAATAAAAAATAAATCAATATATTTTCCTAAAACCAGCGATAAAGTTTATACACTGACCAACACTGGTTATTACTTTTGGTAATTTTGCTTTGCTAGAACCAAAAGAATGATTCCCAGTTTACTTTGTATTTCTTGATTACTAGTGAGGCTGAATACTTTCCACATACTCCTGTTCTATTTTATTTCCTTTATTGTAAATTGTTCCTATCCTTTGGGTTTTTTATCTACCACAGGTGGAGCCCTCTAATAACACAATATCTTTCTTCATAGAAAAAATGTCCTCTTCCAAACCCCCAAATGCACATAAGAAGAGACAAAAGTAATGACTGTGACACAGTCAGTTCTCCTGTAGTTATCAAGTTATTCAGCATGATTGGGACGTGCAGTGTTCCACATATTTCTTTCTAGATAAACATAATCAGTTGAAATGCCAAATATTTTCCTGAACATTTCTGCTTGATACCAAGTACATAAATGATAATCTAATGTATTCTTCATGGCCCAGCATTATTAAGATCAACAGTACTATAATGTAGGCTACTGACATGGGTAGTAAATGATTCCACAATAGCTGAATTCTGAAGTCCTTTTAAGTTTATTACCATACAATAACAGATTAAAACTGAATTTTAACCTCTGAATAAGTGTTTATTGTTCTGACATATGCCTGCTCTGGGAACAAAAATTGCTAGAAAACCACTAAAGCTATGAGAATAACAAAATCCACAAAACCTAAAATATTTCCAACACCTTAAAATTTTTTTTTTTTTTTTTTGGGCAAAATGAAAAGTGAATAAAGATAAAAACAACAAAAAAGCCCCCACTAAAACCCAGATCTCATTGTCATTTTTTTTTTTCTGAAGAAGCAGTAAAACATTATTGGTGAAAAATCATGTAACTAGAGCAAGGAATATATTAAGCTCTGATTTTTTTCTGAATTAAAACATTATTGCTTGGAGAATAATAAGAAAGGTTCTACACACACACACACACACACACACACACACACACACACACACACACACACGGCACTTAATGGAAAGGAAATGATGGCATATTTCCAAGTCTGTGGCATAAATGAAGAGATAAGCTGATATTTCTAGTAATGACCCATTAGGACACCACTGCCCACCCTGATGAATATAATAGAATGTGAAAATGGGACTTCACAGCCATCAAACAGATATTGGGTAGTAAAAGAGCCACTCATTAGTTGCCAGATTCTCATGGCCCCTTGCTGACTGAAGTCAGCTCCCAAGGGACACAGGTCTCAGTTATGCAAAATTCACTTGAAGGCCTTCCTTCTCCAGTACTTTCAGTCTAAATGGAAATGAGGCAGTAGCACTTTCTGCAGTGGTACTATCTTTAGAGGCAAATGTTGGTTTTGATTTAACTTAATATTGTGTAAAGTCATTTAATATTTCTGCTCTTCTCAAAAATTAAATATACCTCTATCATATTTATCTGAAATATGTGAAATACATTTTTAAAAATTCCACCACTCTCTGATTAAAATCCATGGGGTCCACGTTTCTTAAGTTCTTGCTCTTTTTTCCTAGACAATTTGGGGTGGAGTGGGGTTGCTGGAGATTGAACCCAGGGCCTCATACATACTAGGCATGTAGTCTACCACTGAGCTACACCCCAGACCTAGATTACATATTGATAGAATGTACAATGAGAGTTCTAGGAAAGGAGAGACTCCTTCATTGTGCCTACGGGAAGGCTGTATACAAGTGGGCAATAATGCAATAGGAGCAATATTTTGCTCCATAATACTTTGGTGTCACATATATTCTGGGATTCATCTCCCCCTATATGTAGAATGGTAACAAAGGAGAAACGCCATCTATCTGCTCCCCACCCCCTCCTGCCCCCACTCTGGTTGATTAGTTCACATAGTACTCCCATTTCTCAACTACTGATGCTCAGTCACTTTCTTTGTATTTTCCTCAGGGTTAATGAGATATTAAATAAAGATTGTAAGTCCAAAAGGAGACCGGCAACATTGAGAACTGACAGCTTCAGTGAAAACGAAAGGGTCTGTTCAGGCTGCATAGATCAATAGTGTCAGCTTGTAATCTGTGTGATCTTATTCAAAACAGACAATAAACCTTTCTCTGAGGATGAATAAAGTCCAACAGAGGGAGAATCTGTCACCAGGGCTCACTCCCCACGTCCACCTGAGGGAACACAGCCTTGCGAGCTTTGGCTTTTTGTAGTTTCCTTTCTTCCAACAGGGAGTCTACATATTAAATTGTCAGTAAGCAATATGACCAGTTCTTTCTCTTTTTTTTTAAACTGTGGTAATTTCATCCTTTAGCAATTTCTTAAGTTAATTTAAATATGAAAATGGAAGGCTTATCTAAAGTACAAAATACAAAAAGCTTTATATTGCATTTCAAAACACTGGTGTGCCTCTCTATTCAGTACTTGGGGAGGAAATTTAGTATTCAATGGTACCCTACTGTTGTCATGGAAACACCTCTGGTAGGCAACCTCTTATTGTTACTGTGGTCATCCAGCTGTGGGCCCAGAAGGGATGAGCGGCAGGTTTACTCTACAAAAATGTCAACTGTCTGCCTTTGGAGGAGATCCAGTGAAAGATTAATATTCAAGGACAGAAAATAACTTACCCCCAGAGAACGTGATGGTCACCAGCACAAGATCTTCCTCTGCATGCTGAATCTTTTCAGCTACAACCTTCAGGATCTCCTGAGCGGTACTGGAAACTTTTGCCTTCACACTGACATAGGAGTGCTCCGTTATATACACATGGCAAAAAACTGCACAAGTCAAAAGAATTGTTCGTAAATATAACTGTGGTCATGAGGTGCAGACTTTTCCAAATCAAGGGTCAACCTCTGTTCTCTTCAGCATAAAGCATGTACAACTAGATGTACACACTTACCATGCACATGACAAACTGGTACACACCTACAAACATGTGCTTGCAAACTGAAGACACCGACATGACAAAGCTTAGTGACCAGCTGGGAGAAGTAGTTAGGCTTCCCACACTGCAAGGGACCTCCATGTCACACCAGTGTGCACTCATGGCAGAAACTGTCTGACAGTGGAAAACATGCTATGCAGACTGTACTTCTGAATCCTTTCTTTGAGAGTTGCTGAGCTCTCCCAAAGCAGCATATTAAAATGTCTAACTCATAAATTATTATTTTATACTCCATTTCGGGGTGGTCTCAGTGGCCCAATCAAGAACAGTGCATTTGCTACTAGAATTCTCATAAGCTTATCTGAAAATGTGTCATCTGTCTTAGGTTTTGTGTGCAGCTTTTCTAAGTCATTTAAGAATGATTCCTCTACCCTGCCCTCATCAAAGTGGGGGTGAGCTTAGTTTCCAGATGGAGGTTACCTTTTTAACCTTTTTAATTTCCTTCTTATTGTCTCTAGTGCTAATAATTATCACTATCAGGGTAAATTTTTTTATGATTTGCATAGCAGAAACTGTTTTAATAGCAACGGATGTCACTATCACACTGCCACATCAGCTATTATGAATATGTAAAACACTAGCTTCTTTAGAGTAAGAATACTCTTCCATATTGTAAAAAAAAAAATAAAAGGGAGGGGGAAGCAGCTCTTAGAGAAATTTTATTTGCAATTTAAATGGCACCACAAAAATAAATCCAGGAATATTTTCATAGGAATGCAAATGAGGCAAAAGCCCAAGCATCAGTTGACAGGTACAGAGCCTCAAAGTAAACACAACCAGGAGACACTTGAAGACTCTGTTTGGTTTGGTGCAGCACTAAAACAATAGCTTTTTTCTTTTTCTAACAAATAATTGTTTCATATTTTGTCAGCAAACTTAGGTGAGAAAGGTTTTCTTCCTTGCATAGAAAAATGGAATTTTTAAGAAAAGCAAAGATCTGGTTTACAAAACACTAAATGTACGGTAAGTTTATAGATTGCTTAAGAAACTGATGAACAAAAAGAGGCTGGAGCCTTTAAATACTTAGCCTTTTTGAAGCTCAGATTGGAAAACTGTACGATTAAATTATAAGACAAATGGGCAAGGAAGAATGACAATTAACAAATTAGCAGGTAAGGTAAATTTTCATTTACTCTTTCACTTGGGGCAGATGACACTTAATATGATACAAGAAAACCCCATCTGTGAGCAGCATTATACACAAACAGCAGATAATAGGCAAGCTTGTGACATTTTTTTTTAATGTTCAAAAAGCTGAGGAAATATTAAACGTCTACACTACTTCAATTTCTCAGACATGGAGAAAGGTGAGTTAAACAAGTTTCTCATAGTCACATTAGCATGAATGTCCAAATTCAGTGTTTCCTGACTTTGTACTTGACCCAACCTTTATCCAAGCAGGAAGAAACCACTGCTGCCATTTAGGTTCTGCTATAAAACATTCACACAGAAAAGCAGCAAACACCTTCAGTGTGCTAAAAAGTCCTCTGTAATGAACTGAATGATTGACCCTCTGCATAGGAAGTCAAGATCAGCTAAGGAGCACTGACTGAGTGTGTGACACAGCCTGGCCTTGGAGAAATTTCTACAACACCCTCCTTTTCATGATTTTTCCCAAGGTTTTCTTCAATAAATCTTAGAGAATGACTTCACCAAAACCCTGTATCTTGACTTTGGTTGCTTTTCTACTTAGTCACGGGAAATGCAGTGACAGAACCAGGGGGAAGGTTCAGAGGAAAAGGCTGTGTTTCCACTGTTTCCCCTGCACTGTGCACCTCTGCCCAGGAATGCAAGGAGGCTCTTTGAACACTTTCCTTTCCTTGATTCCCAAATTAAAAACTGTCTTGGTCCTTGGGATGGTATTATATGATCTTTGTCAACTGTAACACTCAAAGCAAGAAAAGGAAAACCATTTTATTTAATGTTAACATGCTTGTCAAAGGTATATCATGATAAGAAATGACAGTTAAATGCAGGCTAGCAACAAACTACAATTCCACCAACCCCAACCCTTGCTTAAAATCTTACTCACTTTCCTCTGTTTCAGCCACAGTTCCTCTATGCTGGAGCCAGTTCTCCTTAAGACTGAATTGATGGAAAAGGGCTTTATTCTGTGAGAAGGAAGAAAGAGAACAATGAATGAATGTATTCCTACCCTTTAGAAAAATCAGAAATGTTTACATGTTCCAAAAGAGTCAGTCAATTTTTTTTTACTATGAAATTCACCCATCCAATCTTAGAGAAATAAAAAGGGAGTTGCCACAATTAACGAATGTGGAGGTGGAAGATTCTGAGCAAAACTATGGGCTTTGGCCAAAGTCAGTAGCAGGCAAAAAGCCCTTGGGACTGTTGCCTGTGACTGGTTAGAGAACACTCCCACATTTCCACATCTGGCTGTGACAAACATCCACAGATAATTCTCCTAGGAAAGACACTGTTTCCCCTTCCCAACATAAGCCTCCATTACAGGCATAATAATCCGACTTCTGCCTTTTACAATTTTCACAGAAGCAATTTTGTGAGATCATTTCATACTCCTGCTATGGTTCAGTGACTTTCTTAAAGGAAACAGGTACATTGTTCATTATGATTCCCCTCCTTCTGTGAAACTTCTGACTGACTGACATCTCCTTCTGTAACAACCACCCCCCCACCTGCCCCTGCCTCCATCAAGTTAAATGGGAACATATCATACTTGCTACCATCTCTCTATCATGCTGAGAGTATAAAACATCTCCTTATAAGACTTCCTCTCTTGGGGTCAAGATTCATATGTAGATTTTTTTTTTACATGAATATTTTAAAATTCAAAATTTTACCAGTCTGGGGACAACTCTGAGACTCCAAAATGTACCATGAAATAGGCACACTATCATAAAGTCAAGAGCACAAGTGAAATCAGATCTGTGCAATCACAGGGAAACTGCAGCAAGGCAGAAATGTGCAGGAAGCTGTACCCTAGGTTTCCCCACCTCACCCTGCTGTGCTTGAGGCAACATTCACTTTAATTGTGAAGAAATGCCAAGGCAGGCAAGGCAAGGTCTCCAAACAGAATCACCCCATTTCAGATACAGAAGGGTCTGCCTACCTTCCTTTGTGGTGAATATTCATCTACGGTGCTGAAAAGAAAAAGACAAGAAGTCAGTCTTTGTCCCAAATTCAGAATAAGGCAGTCACTATCATGGAAGACCAATTTTCAGGCACTAGGCAGAGGAGAGGATCTTGCTCTTTAAAAAAGATAAAAACATGGGCTGGAGGCTTGGCTCAAGTGATAGAGTGCCTGCCTTGTAAGCTCGAAGCCTTGAGTTCAAACCCCAGTATTGAAAAAAAAAAGATAAAAACACAGTATTCATTAGTTTACTATGTACAACACCCTTGACATTGGGCTCTGATATCAAACAAACCAAGAAGAAAAGAAGCTACTTATTCCACAGGCATAGTCTGCTTTCTACCTACAGAAACGAAAGCCAAGACTTGAGGGAAAAAATTGATTTAGAAATTCAGTCCACAGAAATAAGTTGGTGTTTTTTTTTTTATTTTTTGGAGTAGCAATATTCAGTATATAAAAATGTTTTCTCATGTTGTGATAGCCTTTAGGTGAAATTATTGTTTGGAGAGCTAAGTAATTCAGCGTCTTCTTCAGGATGGTTCCTCTGAGTAGCAGAACTGAAGAATGTTCTATTTGGTAGGTATCTCTCTCTGATCACACATTCCCACCACTATGTGCCTTCTGAAGGCCACCTCCATGGAGAAATCTGCCCTGGGACTGTTTTCATACATCACTAGGTTAACCATAAATTACAGGTATCAATCTTATTCTCAGAAAGAAATACCTTCTCCTCTGTTTGTACACCGGAGACAGAGGAAACTGTAATGTGCACAGCATTTGGGCTTCAAATCTTATTCTACAATCTAAAGGTATTTCATAGTTTTATAGAAAAGAAGCAAAAATCATGTCCCCTTTTATAATTTTCTTTTTTGTAGTGCTGGGTATTGAACCCAGGACCTCTAGCATGCTAGGTATGTGCTCCACCACTGACCTACACTTGCAATCCAATCATGTTTTAATGTAATTTTCTTATTTTAATCTATTATTTCCCATCTTAATGTTAAGTTTTAAATGGAACATACTAAATTCCATTGATGTATGTAATGTACTGAAATGTATCAAATCATGAATTAAAGTTTCCCAACTGTAACAAATCTACCTTATGGGATACAGCAACTTCTACATGAGATTATTTTGATCTAAAGGTTATCGTTTTTTTTCCCGTTTCTGGTTTCATTTACTAGCTTATATTTTCATATTAGTCTGAGGTTATGAATATTTAACATAATGTAGACCATAGGGCTGGTGGAATGGTGTAAGAGTACTTGCTTAGCAAGTATAAGGCCCTGAGTTCAATCAAATCCCAGTATCACAAAAAAAAAAACTGTGTAAAACACAGTTTACAACATTAATTTCTAGCACACTGTCCCAATTTGCACCTGATTTAATTTCTAAATGTGCAATTTTGAGGGTTCAGAACTAAAATTTTTATACATGGTTTGTTTGTTCCCCATTTTCCATTTGCAACTGGGATTCTCTTTACCAAAATTAAGTAAGGCTTTAAATCTCAAATCAGTAATCTGAAAGTCCAGAAATGACATTTTCTAAGACAAGTGTACTTTCAATGGCTGAAATTGACAAAAGTTTTCTCAACTTGAGAACACACATGCTTCATGTTTACTAAGTATAACCAGTGCAGTGCAGATCAGAAAGCAACTTTTTCCCTTAGATCAACCCTGCAAACTCTATATCTGAAAACTGAATGATGACTTGACACTCCCATTTCCCAAAATAAATCAGGAGAGCCAGTGATAAAATTCAGTGAAGTCAGGTGTAGACAATCTGAAAGATCAACAAGAGATATTTGTGGGACACTTGGCCATGCCAAGAGTCACTTGAGTAAACAGTTTTCTTCAATCTTTCTAAATTGATAAAGAAACCTCAGGGAACTCATAAAACTGAGCTTTTCAAATGCTCCATGACTCACAGGGCCTATTCATTAAACTTTCCCTCTATTCCATAGAGAAAGCTAGGAGCCCCAAAATGACAAGCTAAATATGCAGAGACAAAATTAAATAATTTATTAAATAATAATTTTTTTGTACCCAGGTTATTATGGCCTAGTTTCCTTGTTTATTTTGTTTTTTTAATGGCACTGGGATTTGAACTCCTTGTGGGGTTTGAGCACCTTGCTAGGCAGGTGCTCTACTGCTTGAGCCATGCCCCCAGTCCCTGAGTTTGTTTTCACCATATAAAACAGTTGGAAAAAAAAAAAGTCAATGAGCTTAATTTAGTGTTCTTTCAATTTGAGGTATATTTTAAAAAATACACAATTTACTACTAGAAAAGTTAAGGGAACAAGATGAATCCCAGGGTCAAACTATTCAAAATCAACTTTATGTATAAGACATCCCAAACTTTTACATTTGCTGTGCATTTATTAACTGCTATAAGAAAAATTACTTACTGACGACGATGCATTCCAAGTATCTTTTGAAATTCTTTCAGTTCTTTTTCAAGTATTGGATATTCATAGATATCATCCAGTACATTCCTGTATATGGTCTGGGGGAAAAGACAAACAGCACCTGAAATGGTTTAATGTCCATTTTGTGAAGATTAAGACTAAGATAGGGTTTGAAGTATATAGCTCAAGTGGCAGAGTATGTGTTTAGCATGTGTGAAGCCCTGAGTTCAATCCACAGTACCAACCAACAACCACAAAAATGACTCAGACCAATGGTTATCCTGCTCAAGGAAGTTAAGAACCCAGAACAAAGCAGGAGTTGAATCTTAGCCACACAATCAACTGGCAAGGTTCTCTAGCTGCTTTGGGAGGATTTGGTAGGGAATGCTAGAAGCTTTAAGATCCCTGGGGCTGGCTACTCAAGATTTTTCTATACCTTAAAAATGTAATGTTCACATAATCACTTGGGAGGAAAAAAATATCAATCATCTATTTGGAACCTAACATGAGTTTAGACAAAGTTGGTTAGACCAGTTTTTGACTGCATGTTAAATGACATCTAAATGCTATGTCTTTGACGTCTAATGTTCAAAGTTTTTTTCTTCACAAGAGCTAGAAATCAGTTTATGTTGCTGCTGGAATTCCATACTATCTTTCTTTGACCTGTATACCTAATATGCTTTCAGTAGCCAAAGAAATTCAACTGCCTATTCCAGAGAAGTGTCTATACTGAAAACATATTGCAGCACATTAATGATTAGAAAAATCAATTTATTTAATTCAACATGTAAATTATTACAGATTAATATTCTCAAAATATACCATGTGCTAAAGTTATTTAATGTATATACTGTCAATATAAATTTAAATGACTGTTTTATCCAAATACTGTCTATATATATATATGAAAATTGAAGTTATAAATCTCAACATATTAAATAGTATCAAATCTTAAAGTATTTATTTCATTTGCAATCAAAAGTCCCATGACTTATATTAAATAAATCATTTAAACTAATGAATGTAAAAAATTCCTTCTATATCTCTTCGTAGTTAAATATTTAAAGTTTAAAAAATTAAGTTTCTACTTCTGTATCCCTACAGAATACCAGGCCTCAGAAATCTAAATGAATTTATAACCTCCTCTGAATTACAACTTGACTATTAAGAAGAGTTGAATGACTATTACCTACAAATGGGATTTCTGAAATGTGTAACTGAAAATAAAATCAATCACTTAGCATCAAAGAACATCTGAAAGTGTTTGGTTACCTTTAAAAACATTTTTGAATGCTCATCTTCATGTAGCCAGTCTTTGTACAAAGCAATCCACTGGGAAACAAGATGCAAGACTTTCCGTTTCCGACGAGGAACGTCAGAGTTTTCTTCTTTGCCTTGATACTTCTTGGCAGAATAAGTGCCAATGGTTAAGAAAGAACATTATCTTGTTGAAATAAAAAAATATGGAAAGGCCCATTTATTCTGGTTTTTATAAAATAGGTGAATGCATAATTTCCAAAGGGCCTACAAGCATGTGGACCTGAGAGAACAAACGTGACCAGGGAGAGCAACAGCTCTGCACTAAAAGGAACAAAAGCAAACCCACAAAATGATGGCAGCATCTCCAGTGGGAGGCCATGGACTTAAGGGCTGGACCGTCACACTGGCAGCTGCTGACAAAGTCCCACAGGCAGCATGGGATTTGTGTCAGTTCAAAGAGAAAAGTGGCAGCCCATTGATTTTAAGAGTGGCTTCTCGAGAAGATCTGGTTTCACTACATAGGTGAATGCTATTTTGATAAAAGGTCAAAAGGACAGACATTCTTTGATCCTCAGAAATTCACATTTTTTATAAAACCACTTCTACAAAACCACTTTTATAAAACTACTTCTAAAGTAGTTCCAAATGAGCACAGATTTCTGGAGCACAATCTGTTATATCATTCGAATGGCCACTTCTGGGAATTTACTTGAAAAAATAATTGGATAAGCTAGGCATGGTGGTACATGCCTATAATCCCAGCACTTGAGAGGCTGAGCCAGGAGTACAGAGAGTTCAAGGCCAGTGTGGGCTACAAAATAAGACCCCATCTCAAAAAAGCCAAAAGAATTAGATAAATGTGTAAACACGTAGGTAAAAAGGACAACTAATTTTCACTTTCATTAAAATTAAATTTAAAAATAACACAGGAAAGAACCTAAATGCTTCAACAATTTGCAGCTAGCTAAATGATCACATATCCATTAATGGGCTATTCTGCAGCCACAGAAATGATGTCCATGAAAAAGTATATGCTGAATGGAACATTCACTATATATTGTTGAGTAGAAAAACAAGAATATATTGCATGAACTACTTCTGTTAATAATGCTTATAGGAATACTTTCGTTATCTGGAAGGATATACATCTGTCTAAATAGTGCTTTTCAATGTGATGAGATTTGAGTGTATATGAATTATTTTACTTATTAGTACTTCCTAATTTGTATACAATGATTATGTGCTAACTATGCTATTAAAACCACATAAAAATAACATCAGAGCAAAGTGTTTCTATGACTAGGAATGAGACGGAGCTTGGTATTTTCTAAACTGATTATTCTTTTTCTCTCCAAAATGATAATTTCAGAAAACCTTCAATGCACTGGAAAGTTACCTGGGAATGAGAACACTTGACACCAAACACAAGTAGGTCTGGGGATGGCTCAACAGGATTATTGTATCTTCTTTAATGCTGACAGAAAATTGCAAAATAGGACTGAATTCTACTTAAACTTTGTAAATATTTTAAAACATAATTCAGTCCCTTTCTCCCAATCTTGGAAGAGTATGTTGAGGTCATCTTTAATTTCCACTATGAAATAAGATCAGGCAACACACACACACACACAAATCTGTTAAAGGATCTGTTTCTTCTAGTTTTACTCTTGAATGGCAAAATATAAAGATTTATCCTATATGAACTTCTTATTCTAACTGCATATATATATGTTCTACATTTACAGACCAGCAGAATAAAGCAATTTCAGGGACTGACACTTCAATCATTCATCTCTATTAATATTTATTTAACCTTGTTCTTTCCTTCCTCGAAGATGAACATTTAAAACATATTTACTGATTAAATTTGCATTTGTATTATTCTGCTTTCCTATATCAAGGTACAGAATCTTTTACATTTGGTCCTCATTAAATTATACTGACTTATAAATTTAGCTTGGGGAAAGGCACTGGGTGAGAGTTACAACTTCTGTGTAAAGCATGAAGGTATTAGCTGGCCCAGGGCTAAGAGCTTAAATAATGCGGTTTAGGAGATAAAAGCTGAAAACTATTGAGTCCTATTACAATAAAAATATCCACCTAAAATATTCAAACCCAGCACAAATGGCTCTTATGTATAAATGATGTTCAACAGTTATGGGAAAAAAACCAAACCAAACCAAAATAATCTGGATCACTTCTTAAAAGTTGGTAAGCAATGAGAAATGAAAGACATCTTGATCAGTGCATGTACAAAACATCTCACTTTAAATAGGGTTGCCATATTTTCATTTTTTAAAATAAATTTTTATTAAGATATATTCATGATATGGGGGTGTTTCATAGTAACAATTCCGATTAGACTTATATTGTACATTGGCTACATTGCCCCAATCACCTCTTCTCCCTTATTTTCATTTGTGGCTTACATGATTTCACAGAAGGAAGAGTGTGCAAACATATAAAAACTATCATGTAGAAAGATTCCTGGTTTAAAATGCCTTAAATTTCGTGAGTTTAGATAATCAATAAAAAGGATGCTAAGAAACTGAATTAAATTTTCATATAAGATATCTTAGTCAAAGACTGAAAACATATTTATATCCAAGGAAAATTTTAGAGACTTTTCAGGAGCATCCTGTTATGGAAGGATAGTCAAAAGTTGTATTAGGCTTAAAGACAATAGTTTGAAGGAATCTAATTTGCTATAAAAAAACACAATTTATATTACTTAACAAATAGTAATTAGTTTAGAAATGGTTAGCATTTAAATGCTGATGAAATTAGTGCATATTTTTTCCAAAATACTTCTGAAGAAATTCAAACTCTTATAATTATTGCTAAATTTCTTAACATTTCACTTAAAAACTGTGAAAGAAATGTGCACATATTATAATTTCCCAAATTCAAAGCTAAGTAATAATGTTGTAAGATCACTTTTATGAATCAGATCTATAATGTATCAAATACCTATAGCTTGGCTTGGTCAGAGGATACAGTAAACCATTAAAAACTAATCATTAAAAATAAACTTTTTTCAGAGATTGTACTTTATGCACTTTATAGAGATTTAGAGTATTCTTTTAGACAGGAAAGTGCTTTAAAGTTGGGAGGAATATAATAATTACTTAATTGGAAAAGAATATTAAGTGGCCATTATCATTTGGTCTTAATAAAACTTTGGCATATATTAAAAAAAAAGCAATCTATTTTCCTAAGCATTTTTATGTGGGTTGGAATGGAGTCTCCAGTTTGGTTTATTAAAAAACATGAAGGTTTTTATTAAATGATTAAATTAATTTAAACATAATTACTAACTTGTTAGTAATAATGAAATTAAATTAATTTATTAACTACTTAAATGCTTTTGAGGCAGGACACCCACGTGGAGAGTTCAGTGCTTATGTGACTTTGTTGTATGGCCTTTAGATGTTTCCATGTGACATCTCTTGCAGTTAGCAGGCAAAATTGTAAGGCTTTCCCAACTGATCATTAACTTTCTAGTTCCATCCATCATTCTCCATCATTCTAAGAGAACATGCAGTAACAAAGCTCTGAAAAAATGAGAGTTGATTCCAGGAGTGAGTTTCGACCTCCCGCGTGGGGGAACGGCTCTTGCCCCGGGATACCTGCCCATGTGGTTTCCTACACAAGTGGTCTGCTCTAAGTGACTGACTCTCTTCTAAGGCTACCTATTGTGTAATATTGCCAATCTACTCAACCTCTTCACTCTGAGGTTTACCAGAAGGTCAATTTTACCTCCAGAGTTCTAAGCAATCATGAGAAACAGATCTAAAGCAAGCATGCTATAAATAGTACAATTCACCCACGTCATAGAATGTGAAAACAGCAGCTCTGCATTTACATTCCCCCATCTATTCTGTCATTTCATCTTTTACCTTGGATATCATTACATTAATATTTAACATATCTCCACTCTACCGCTGGGTTGAGTAAATTAAGAAAGGCAGTTAATGCCTAACATGGGACAGCTGTCTGAGAGGAAGCCAACACAGCATCTTGAAGTTAATGAAGGATATTGTCTTAACAGTGCCTGGCACAAGTCATCCGTCGTCATGAAGACGGTGTACGTGAGAAGGAAGTCATCAAGGAGGGTCTCTGCAAGGAAAGAAAAGAAATACAGGTAAGCAAAGTGACACGAAGGGCAGCCAGACTCCCTGAATAGCGTGCATGAGAGAAACAAAACATGATGGTGGTGGTGGGAGGGGTCAGAACAGAATTTACCCACAGAATCTATTGTTTATTAAAGTTAAGATTTGAACAATCCTTTACACAGAATGCTTCAAGCAATGAGATTTTTTTCTTGCAAAGCTCTCTAAACATCTCTCATCTTTCCCCCCCCTACTAAAATATCATTTATATTTGCGGATAGAGATGTTATGAAAAACCAATGCATAAATAATGTGCTTTTAAAAAATATATTTTGCAAGACTTAAGAGGTACAGACTCCAGTCCTATAGGGAATGAAACCATCATGTTCTAATAAGAAACTGGGGGGAGTGTAATTTAGTGGAAAAGCACATGAAAGCAGGAGGCTTGAGATTCCATCCTCTGTACCACAAAAAAAAAAAAAAAAAAAAAGAAGTTGGGAAATGATGCATGATTTCTTAATATTTGAGGAGAGAGTGAGCTGAGTGCAGTTAAAATTGGGGAACAGTTACAGCATAACCCAACATGCATCTTCCTAATTCCTTTTGCCTACCAACAAAACAAGTTCACTTGTATCACCTGAGTCTTAACTGTTCTTGGAAAAGTCCAGCTTACATATAATATGGAAACTCTGACCTCCAATATAAGTTCCAAAACAACAGAGAAGATTATATGTAAAATGCAAAGTAGTCTGACATATGTGTCTTTGCCTTGTCTCCTTAACATTCATTATATGGTATGATTTAATTTCCATATCTTGTATACTCTGGACATCAAAATTTTAGTTTTATGAAATAATAAAATTGTAGAGGTAATGAGATCATATACTATCATATACTTAAAGTTTATTGCTCCCCTTTCATAAATTGAAACTTCACCCCCTAATTTGATGGTATTAGGAGGAAGAGTATTTACAAAACAATTAGGATTAAATAAAATCACAAGAGTGAATTCCTCATGAAAGGATTAGTGTCCTCCTAAGAGTCCTGAGAGAACTTGCTTCCCATCTCTATTGTGTGAGAACATAATGATGGGACTGCTAACTGAACCAGGATTTAAGCCCTCACCAGACACTGACTCTGTCAGCACCTTGATCTTACACTTACCAGCCTCCAGGACCATCAGAAACAAATGTCTGCTGTTTATGAATCAACCAGCCCATGGTATTTTGATATATGCAATAGTATTTATGCTCTCCAAAGTCTACCCTTTATAAATGTGTAAGTACAAATAAATAATTGACTAGTACAAAACTCTATGGTTCTATGCTGAAGACTGGATGAAAGGAAAATTTCAGAACTTTTAATTACATATAGTTAGTTACATTTACTCTAAAAGTTGATCAATGCAAACAAAAGTCTGTATTTATGAGTTCAAAAGTTTTATATAAATTGCAAATGACATCTCTAGTCCTGTATCAGCTGCAGGGATTAATTTACTTCTACATTTTGTTTGGTTACAGAATTTTAAGATAATTTTGATCCACACTAGATAAGTGGTTGCAAACAGTAATGTCTTAAAATGTTTACTTTTAAATTGCAAGATGCCAATGTGTGGCTGGGTGCTGGTGGCCCACGTCTGTAATCCTAGGTATTCAGGAGGCAGGGATCAAGAACTATTTGCTCAGGCAAATAGTTCCAGAGATCCTAACTTGAAAAAACCCACCACAATAAAGGGCTAGCAGAGTGGCTCAAGATGTAGGCCCGGAGTTCAAGCCCCAAGTACGGGGGGGGGGGGGGGGGGGAAGACAGGTGTTTTTGAAGGGAATGAGGGAATTTTAAGAGATTCCGAGTAACAATATTCCTTATCAAAATAATAAATCTGACAATAAACCTTAACTTTACAATGTTGCTCACACTGCAATAGGCCAGCAAATCACTGGTCCAACTTACTATTATTACTTGCTAAGAAAAACAAGTCTCCAGTTGTACATAGGACTTGCTGGGTGTAAGTTGATCTAAAGTATGAAAGGCCGGGTGCCAGTGGCTCACACCTGTAATCCTAGCTACTCAGGAGGCACAGATCAGGAGGATTGTGGTTCAAAATCGGCCCAAATATAGTTTTTGAGAACCTATCATGAAAATACTCATAACAAAAAAGGTCTGAGAGAGTGGCTCAAGATGAAGGCTCTGAGTTTAAGCCCCAGTACCGAAAAAAAGAAAAAAAAAGGCGTGACCAGGGTGCCAGTGGCTCATGCTTGTAATCCTAGCTACTTGGGAGGTTGAGATCTAGAGGATCAAGGATGGAGGCCAGAAATGGCAAAGAGTTCACAAGACACCATCTCCAAAATAACCAGAGTAAAATGGATGGGAGGTGTGGCTCGAGCAGAAAAGTGCTTGCTTTGCAAGCTCAAAGCCTTGAGTTCAAACCCTAGTCACACAACAACAACAACAACAAAAAGTGTGGTGTGTGCTTCATCAGTCAATGCACAGCCTGCAATCACAGAGGGACCAGGTGTCCCCTACTACAGTCTCTGTCTAGGGAAGTTTCAAATGTATGCACAAAAAGGCAGGAGAGACTTTAAGATCTGCCCCCAAAACACAACAAGGGGATTGGACTTTGAGCACATGATAAAAGCGAGAGCACACAAGGGAGGGGTGAGGATAGGTAAGACACCTAAAAAACTAGCTAGCATTTGTTGCCCTTAACGCAGAAGAAACTAAAAGCAGATACCTTAAAGCAATACTGAGGCCAATAGGAAAAGGGGAAAGGTACTAGAGAAAAGGTTGTTCAAGAAGAATATAACCTAGAAGGTAACACCCACGCACAGGCAAATCAAATGGTGAGTCCAATGCCCTGTATAGCTATCCTTATCTCAACCAGCAAAAACCCTTGGTCCTTCCTATTATTGCTTCTACTCTCTTCTACAACAAAATTAGAAAATAGGGCAAAATCAGTTTTCTGCTGGGTATTGAAGGGGTGGGGAGGAGAGGGAGGGGGCGGAGTGGGTGGTAAGGGAGGGGGTGGGGGCAGGGGGGAGAAATGACCCAAGCCTTGTATGCACATATGAATAAAAAAAAAAAAAAGATCTGCCCCCAAATTACTTAATGTGTCAGCACAAGTTAATGATTAGTTATCACAATAAAAATGGTGAATAATTAAATAATGACTTTCATTCACTATAGTTTTTAAAATAGTTGAAATTAAAAACTATGTCATAATGTGTGAGGTCCTAGGATATTTTGGAAACAATATGAAAGCTATCACTTTGTGATGCTAGTGAACAGTAATGTTCTCAAATGTGCTAAACATGAAATTTGACTACTCTGGCCTGATTGGAAATCAAGCTGCATCTTTTGCATGCAATGTTAGATCCAGGCAGCAAGGGTAACAGAATGGACTAGAATCTATTTTAGGGTCTTCAGTGGGCTCTTATAGGTAGGAACCACCAATATAGGGAAACTACTGGTGACAACATGTTCTGTATTTAAACTGTCTGGTGTGACAGACAGGTTCAGAAGTTCTTATACTAAGCTGCATTTAATGAGGTTGGAAGTATTCTCTAATCAAGATTTAGTCTATTAGTAGATGAGATTAAAAAGAACACCATTGACTTTGACATAAGCAGCCATACCATGCTGGAACAACCTTGATAATGAACTGAGTGACTATGAGAGTCTATTTAGATGGTAGCAAACCCACATTTGGCATTCAATTCAATTAATCAACTCACATATCACAATATTTTGTGAAGGGCTTTGACTTGGAAATACTTATTTTCCCCTAAGCTACTACCATATTTAATATTCAATAGCATTTACCTAATTATTTCTCTGCCATAGAAATATTAATTAAAATAAAAACAATGAGGCTACATAAAAACATCTCCAGTTAAAATCCTAATCAATAGAAGAATCTCAAATCCTAATAAATAGAACACATTCCCTATACTCCTATTCCAGTTTTTCTCTCTTCTCTATGTAGCAAGCTTTCCTTTATTCTTTTTTCAGCACTGGCATTCTTTTCTACAGATTCTGAAAGTAATTGAGTGATATGAATAAGAAAAACTATAATCAAAATGATGTACTTCAAATAAAAGTGTTATTTCATTTTCTAACAGCCATGCTTCAAAAAAGGCTGCCCCATTGGTATTTAGAGATATTTTTAGAACCACAATGGCTATATGAATGATTCCCTGAAGACTATTAGCCAACAATAGCCATTTAGAAAGACTAGCAAATCCACTGGCATCCATATTAAAACACTATAATTATCTATTATATTACATAGTACTTAATGGTAATTTAAGACTGTAGGCAAAAAAGCATTTTTGTGTACATAAAAGCATCTTTCATTTAAACAAATCCATGGTTGCCTTATGCACTAACATTCTGATAAAGAGATGTATTCATTTTGATTTCTAACTCTGAATTCCTAGGTATTAATATACAAAGAAAACTTTTCTTTGAAATTCTATTCATTAAATCTAATCCTGAATTTTTGGCTCATAACTAAACTTTTGGGAACATCCTCCCCACTCCACCAAAATAAGATTTGTGGTTTTTTTTTTTTGGGGGGGTGTGGCTACTGTGGATTGAACCCAAGGCTTCATGATACTCAGCACATGCTCTACGACAGAGCTACACCCCCAGTTCCCCAAAGGAATATTTTTATAGTGGCTTTTTGAGCCCTTAAAGCATAAAAGTAACATCCAGATAATCATCAAAACTGGAAGGCAAAAACTATTATGATCTTAAGTACTTTGTATCTTAGAACAAAATATATAAATTTGTAGTCAAAATTTATAGTCTTGATAGAAATGGTTCTAAAATTCAGGCTTATCATTAGTCATACTGATGTGATAAAGGACTTTTCCCTATCATCTGCTATTTTAAATTCTGAGACATAAGAAAGCAATTGTTGGCCAGACGCTGGTGGCTCACATTTGTAATCCTAGCTATTCAGGAGGCAGAGATCAGGAGGATCATGGTTTGAGGCCAGCCCAAGCA